TTCAAATAAATAAAATAAATCTTAAAAAAAAAAAAGCTACAATCCCATCCTCTTCCTTTGGTTAGATTTCCTTTTTTTTTTTTTTTCCACAATGCTCCCCTTTAAGCATATTTTCTGACAGATCTCTCAGCGTTCCCTGAAGGTAATACCAGGCTGCAGTAAGACCTAACCTCTGTTGCTAATGCTGCCAACCTGACTTCCTTCCTGAATTCTACTCTTTTATTCCAAAATATATGATCAACAGTTCCTTTGAATGTGTTGCCTATTCCACATACACCATTATTGTCTTGTTACCTTAGTTTGCTATTTCTGCAAGGGTCTCTATTTTCAGTTAATGGCATTACAATTTGATCCTTGTTTATTTCTTGCACTTTTGTCTAATCAAATACCAAATTTATAAGATCTACCTATATAAAGTTTCCTTCTTTTTAATCTATTTCCTATTAAGTCTTCTAGAATTGCTGTAGCAGATTGTCTGTCTGTCTACTTTTAGGAGAGAAGGCTCACATATGGCCACAACAACCCAATTAAGCCAGAGTTGAAACTATAATAAGAATGAGAGATTCAGCACTTGTGTAGCTTTTAACTTGGGACTAGGTGCTATCTCCATTAGTATTTTTAGAGTGAGTCCAATTAAACTTGATAACATTCTGAATGGGAATCATGGTCCTACGACCACTGGAAAGAACATAATCATGGCACACCGGGTTCTAGTCCCGGTTGGGGCGCCGGATTCTGTCCCGGTTGCCCCTCTTCCAGGCCAGCTCTCTGCTATGGCCAGGGAGTGCAGTGGAGGATGGCCCAGGTGCTTGGGCCCTGCACCCCATGGGAGACCAGGAAAAGCACCTGGCTCCTGGCTCCTGCCAGGATCAGCGCGGTGCGCCGGCTGCAGCGGCGGCCATTGGAGGGTGAACCAGCGGCAAAGGAAGACCTTTCTCTCTGTCTCTCTCTCTCACTGTCCACTCTGCCTGTCAAAAAAAAAAAAAAATGTAAAATAGCTGATACAGCAACAATCTTTAAGGGAAAAAAATGCTCGTTCTTTTATCATGGTCAGTGAAATGTTAGTTAAAGCACTTAGAGTGTGGTCTTACTATTTCCATAAAATAATGAGAAAAATAATAAGAAAGAATATTATGGCATCATATGATTCAGCCCAATCCTTCTCCTGGCTATGTGATGTAAGACAAGTCACCTGTATGAGGTGTAGATTTTTTGCTTACAAATAGCAGGATTAGCCTGGCCCAGCAGTTTTCACACCGTGTTTTTGTACTCTGAGATTGAAAGATATTAGTAAGCAAGCTGGTCTCTGAATGCAATCCATCTCTAGCTCTAGCTCTAGCTCTAGCTCTTTCATCTCTAGCTCTAGCTCTGTCTCTACCTCTACCTCTGTCTCTGTCTCTCCAGGAAAGTTCTGTTTAAATGTTTTCCATATTGGGCTATCTCTCCTCCTTTTGAAGAAAAGATTATTTGAAATAACTCTCCTTCTAAAAACCGAAACAAAAACAACCCTTCCTCATTAGCCTAGTTTTGCAATTGTTTCCTATGCTAATGTCTGGGGTCTAAATTGACAGATTTATTTGTTTTAATTCTGTTTATTCATCTATTTATGTTATTTAGCTATTTATTTATTTATTTATTTATTTATTTGAAAGAGCTAGAGAGAGAGAGAATGAACGAATGAATGAGTCTTTCATCCTCTGGTTTATTCCCCAGATAGCCACAATAGCCAGTGCTGAGCAAAGCCAAAGCCAGGGGTCAGGAGCTTCATCAGGGTATCTCACATGGGTGCAGGGGCCTAAATATTTGGGCCATCTAGTGCTGCTTCCCCAGGTGCATTAGTATGGAGCTGGATAGGAAGTGGAATAGTTGGGATTTGAACCAGAGCCCATATGGGATGTCAGAGTCGCAGGTGGATGCTTTACCCACTATGCCACAATGCTGCCCTATTTGTTCTAATTCTCACAAAAAAAGATTGTATATGTGAATCATGTGAAAACTCTTCCCCCTGCATATACTATTGCAGAATTTCCACAAAATAGCTGATTGTTCATTTGCGGGCTGGAGGAGACTTTGGGGATGAGACAGAGGAAGGACTTGTCCTCACTAATCACATTTTTGCCAGATATGAGCAAGAGAAAACTTCATTATGTGGTTCTGAGAAATAGCTCACTTGGAAATTTCCCATCCTCACTCTGCCCTCTTCTGAGCTACCTTAGCATTTTATCTCTTCAGGTGTTAACTCAATGAACATGCATTTGGTAAGTGCTTACTCATGAAAGACATATTCCACATTATTTCTAGTTATGTCCTTGCCTTGCTTCCCCATCTAGATGACCACTTATCTGATAGGAGCTTCTCTGATTCATCTCTTTCTAACTTTCTATCCCCAGTGCCTAGCAAAACACCTTGGGCAGTCAGCACACAACAGATACTTTTTATTGAAACAAAGCAGAAGTAGTCATAGTGGTAGTAGACCAAGCTTCTTTGAAGATTCTTTGATAAAAGTGTCATTCTATGAGGGCCGGTGCTGTGGTGCAGCAGTGGGTTAACGCCCTGGCCTGAAGCACTGGCATCCCGTATGGGTGCTGGTCGAGACTCAGCTGCTCCACTTCCCATCCATCTCTCTGCTATGGCCTGAGAAAGTAGTAGAAAATGGCCCCTGCACCTGCGTGGGAGACCCGGAAGAAGCTCCTGGCTTCTGGCTTCGAATTGGCACAGCTCCGCCCATTGTGATCAATTGGGGAGTGAACCATCAGATGGAAGACTCTCTCTCTCCCTCTCTCTCCCTCTCTCTTCCTCTCTCTCTCTCTCTCTCTCTGCCTCTCCTCTCTCTGTGTAACTCCGACTTTCAAAGAAATAAATAAATCTTTAAAAAAAAGTGTCATTCTAAACTAACAGTTTTTGATTAATTTGCTATGTAAGTTTTATACCATTTATGTCCTTAACACTGACATTACTATCTTTTTAATATTAATATTATGTCAAGTCTGATGATAGACAACATACCATTCTTGGTTTCCAAATCATAGTGAATTCCTCAGCCCTTAAGCTTGAAGATGAAAGATTTTGAACAATTCCCTGAAAATTCCCAGTGAGTTTTGGGTTCCTTACAACCTTAGATTTACATCTGCATATAGAGAAATCTGAGCACTCACAATGCCATCAATAAATTTTAACATTGAAGACTTCCATTATTAAAATTAAATCTTATTTTCACAATTAAGCTATATCTTTTTGTCAAATTGAAGTCATTAAAGTTGGTATATCGCTTAGAATAACAATGAAATAAATATATGTTTAATGGAAGTTTACTATTTTACTAATGTCAGAAACAAGATCAGGATAGAAAGAAGAATGTACCATGTGCTGTGTTCTCTGCTACCCATTGTCATCTGAACAGATGTAACATCAAATGGAAAATTCATTGTCTGATTTTTACTGTAATTTCAGATGAGAAATTTGACTATGTAACACATGCGAAGTTCTACTCAGCTATTCTTCCCTATCACTGAAATGGCCAATGCCAACTTTGACAGGAATTTTCATTAGTTAAATATTATTAAAAATACATAGTTTCTCTAATTCAAAAGAAATTTATAGTTATATATAGATTTTCAAGGGATTATATTTTGTTTTCCACATTTTTTTCTTAAAGGCATGTGTACTGTGGTTTAAAAATACAATATTTTAAAACCTTCTTTATCACATTATTAACCAACCAATTTTAATGAACTAGTGCTAAAATGTGATGTAGCAGATAATTTTTATCCAAGTTATAAAGATTGTATGGTATTGCTAGAGACTTAATGCTGTTTTAAATTTGAAAAAGCTAAAGGCAAATGAAATATTTTATTTTTTGCATGATTGGTTATTTGAAATGTTAATCACATTTTAAGAAACCATATTTTAAAGTACATAACAAAGGCAATGTTTATCCAAAATAAGTACTAGTTCATTAAAAATTAAAAAAAAAAAAACAGGATCTGTTATCTGTACTTTGCCAATCAGCCAATTTGACTTCTTTCCTCAATCAGCTGAGTTTCAGGCTGCAATGGAAGCAGTTATGTAACTGTCAGTCACTGGGTTGCAGAGTTATTCCTACCGACTTTCAGTACGATTGTTTTATTTTGGCCTTCACAACAGTGAAGGCTTCAGAGATCCTCTTCTTTCTATATTACTAACACAAATCATTCCAATCAAGATAGTATGCAATTTGATGTAGACAAACCATAGAAATGTGAGTGCCAAATACAGAAAATGTATGTTTTGTGACATCAGTGTCAAATAACAGCCAGCTGGAATCCTGAGATTGTGAATTTAGGCTAATTATGTTGACAATGAAATTTGATTACTTATATTAATGATTTATAATAAGAAGACAAAAGTCATATTCTTTTATTGCTATCAGTTTATTTTATCCCTGAGCAATGAATGGAAACTTTAAGTATATTGGGTTGTGTTGAGAACTTTCAATACAGATAATGAATATAATTTCATTCAACAATAAGAGAAATAAAAAAGTCTTCAACATAAAAATGCATATATAATTTTTCTGTGAGTCAGAATTAAATTGTACTGCTGGTATATAGTTATATTTGACATGAATGAACTTTTTACCATGCTAATTGTATCCGTGATTGTGTAACACAAAATCAATGCCCACGTGCACACTTCCAAACTATCTCAAATAAGCTCCTGCAAAATTGATTCAAAACAACAGAACTGAACAACTACTATTCCAAAGTATATCTATTATTCACCCCTGTTCCTTTGCGATTAGAACAGTGACAAGGACGTAGTTATGGGTATTTTTTGTTGAATTAATAAATTGGGTTGAATCAGGATGAAATTGGTTGCTTTTGTAGTGGCGATTCTATTATGAATTTTAAAAATGGATAATTTGTTGCTCAGTGCTCCCTTGAATCTAATTATTAGAAAAAAGATTAATACAATGGTAAACAGTTTGCAATAATTTCCCTGTTTTCTTTGTGTATTTACAGGCAAATGGACACAGTTTTGTACATATGGAACATGAAAAAGCTGTATTATTACTGAAGAGTTTCCAGAACACAGTAGACCTAGTTATTCAACGTGAGCTTACTGTCTAAATATTTTTTATAAATAGTAAAAATACGTCTAGCCAGACCTAATGTTCAAAAATAAATTTATACATAGAAACAAATTTTGCCAATTGCTGGACCAATGGCAAACATTAGTGCCAAATGTATAATGCTATATGTTAGCACTGATCATCCTTAAAAATGTTAACTCTATAAATATGATGTTCATGTGGTTATGTATTAGTTTTAATTGTCAGCCTCTGGCTGTGCATTGGTGCAGTTTTGTTTTTATTTTGGTTTTGTTTTTTAATCAAATAAGTTTCTTCTCAAAGTGGATTTCATATAATTTCGGAGCACGGAAGCACATACAAGCTCTTAACAAATTCTGCTCTCCATCAGAAACACTGCCTCAAAGTTGTATATGCCTTTATATAGAAAATGCAAATATGAAGAATTGTAATTCCCATAAAATATTTCTAGCACAAGGTATATGTTGGCATATATACAAAAAGAATATAGAGAAAAACAATATTTTCATAAACTAAACATCTCGGATTGAGAAAGAAAATATATCTTAAAATAAGACTTTACTATATTGAATCTTTTTCAATAAAAATTACATGATAATGCCTTATGAAAGTAACTGTACATATGGTATAAAGTGTTTATATTTGGTTCCATATTCATTTGCTAAATTCTCATAACACAGAGTGAAATATTTCATAAATTAGCCATTTATCTCTGGGACCTGAATAAAAATAGGACAAACTAATTTGTTCAATGCCTTTAGATAATTATAGTACATGCAGAGCTAACAAACAGACTAAAGGCCATTGTAGATAACTATTTTTCACCACAAACTCAAGCAGTGAATGATGGGTGGCATGAAAGATATTGCTTTATTTCTTTCAAATTTATGTTGATTATAAACTGTAGCCCCAGTGATTTCTTTACTTGTAAATGTGGAATTTTTTTGTGTGTGGCTTAATTTAATTTGCTACTTTTAAATCACTTAAAATGAGTTTGGGGAATTGATAAAATTTATCATTAAGAAAGCCTTGCTAGAAAGTTATGGTCGGTGATTAAAAACCTTTGGTATTTAAATATGAAACTTCAAATATAATTTCTCAGAGCTGTGGTCTATCTGCATTATTAAAATATATTATTCCTCAGAAAAGTTTCAAGGTATATAAAATTCTGAATACAATCATTTTGAAGAAAAAGACAAATCTAGTTAATTTAGGATTATTTACCTGACATTGAAACTATTCTCTAAGTGATGAAAATTCATTTTGAAACATTTAAACTATTTTTTTATTTTAGTCACAAGTTTGATCAAAATATATTAATTTGACATTCCATAATAATTTTTCAGTCATTGCATGCATTTTCTTTCATATTTCCACATAGCTTCTTTATATAATGAATTTATGTTATGTGCTACTCTTTCAAGTATTCTAATGGGATTTTCAAATATTGATGTCACCAAAGCTCTGAGAATAATATTTGTAAGTTAATTGTTTTATGGGGACATTGAAGATATTGTATTTTTGTAGGATCTATTAAAATGAGTGTCACTTATTAGAAGTACAGTAGTATTTTTTGGCAATAGAAACTTGTCACTTGAAGGTAAATGATGCTTCTCTTTATAAATAATGCACTAATTCTGATGTTGCTTTAAGTCAAGGTGACATCCATGATTTTATAGAGTTTGGCAATTAGCTAATGACTAAATGATTAGCCTATTTAGTATGTTTCCCAGAAGTAACTTTTAAATGCATTTTAATACATTGAAAGTTTCTGATGACAAATGTCTTTCAGAGTCTAATTTCAGAGTCATTGTCAAAAACTCACTCCAACCACTGTATACAGATATTGTAGAATGATCATCATTTTGGTCTCACAATATCACTCAAAAGGCAAAACAAACTCATGAGTGTAGTTTAGGGACAATGAAACATCTTGAACAGTTCCATTAGTTTTGTGAAGTCTTGTATGGGAGAGGTGGGAAAAAGGCAAGATGGAGGATTTCCCTGTCTGTTTCTCATGCCTGCTTTGCACACAAAGCCCAGTGCCTCAGGAGATGCTTCCATGGCACATGGGTGAGAGAAACATAATCCTAGTGAACAGAGCTAGCACTCCTGAAGTGACAACAGGGTCTTAGGCCAATGCTGTAAAACTTCCTAGTCTGCAGTTCAGAAGTGAAGCGAAGAGAAAAAAGTTCCAGGATCAGCAGGAAAAGAAATGTGATAAGCCAAAGCACCTCATTCATTGTCAACAGGACAGACCTGAGAACCAGGCAACAGTGAAAAGATGCTTTTTTTTTTTTTTTTTTAGCATGACTAGAGAGAATCACTAACCACTTGAGGCCAGGCCAAGGGTGAGGATCTAATTGTTTCTCAGCTAGCCAAACCCACTGATCTTTAAGTTTTGACTTCTTTTGAGTAACTGATTTAGCTGCCTGAAGTTAGAATCTGGTTCATGTTAACAGCAACAAAAAGTCAAGGGCATGCCTTTAACAACAACAAACAAGGTGGAATTCATGCTGATTCCAACAGACTCTACCTCTTGGTCTTTTAAGTTTTATTGTAATCTTTCTGCTGAGGAAGCTATTGAAATGTGATGGACCAGTAAGATGTAATGGATGGCATTAAGAAAGATTAAAGATGGAAGGAAAAATAGCTGAAAAGTATTAGTAGAATGGCTATGGATTTAACAAGACAAATCGACTTCAGTGGACAATTACAAAACTATTTACAGGGCCTATAGGCCTTTATTGTAAAATCTCTCTTAAGTTAGTTCCCACCCTCCCAGACAACACAGGTCACCTAAACACACATAATAATGTCCAAATATAAGTGCGTTTTTGGTAAGGAATAGTCAAAGTCAGTATAGCATACAGATATTAACATCATGCTAATTGCTCATTGAAACCTAAAGAAGACATGTGTCCCAGTTAGATTTGTAATTGCAAAACATCAAGTAATCTTGGTTGTTTCTGGGCCTTGGTTTACTAGCTTTAAGTTGGAAAACAGTTTAAAATAGAGGATACTATCACAAATTAACAACCTTTCATCTTAAAGATGATTATACACATAATCACTGATATAATTGCTTATAACTTAAGTATGCTAACAAAAGGGAAGATTCGAGGGAAGTAAATATTGAAAAAACTATTTATATGTTCAAATGTTAAGTGAAAAATATTTGATCTTGCCAAAATCATTAGATGAAGAAAACCAGAAAAACACTTTATTTTTAATCATAAAATCTTCTTAAAGCTTTGGAGAACACAACTGTACTGTGAATTTGGTTTTCCACTGGTTCTTAGGCTTTCCTTAATTTCTACCCTTTTTGGTACACAAAACAAAAATATCTATTCTGTTGAATACACTTTTATCAAAAAGCAAGAATATGATAAAGCCAGACAAGAAGCCACAGTGGTATGAAACTATGCTTTAAGTTTTTGGTAAATCCAATTAGATAATTGTCAGATAATTCAATCAAACAATTTGTTTTATTGTTTCCTGACATACTAACTAAATCCGATCAAAAAATTCAATCAGAGGATCAATGTTTTCATTGATTCCTGATTTACTAACCAAACAGCAAGTTTTGCAACACTAGGCTGGTTAGTAAAAAGTTATGCAAATAATGAAGTCCAGTGAGTTAAGAAAAGAAAAGCAGGAATAAGATTCCAATAAACTTCCTTTCACAGAAATGCTAATTCTTTTTGAGGCTTAATAAAATGTCAAACACTGGCTAGTGATGTGCCCTCTCTTATGATCAGCTACCTGATCTGGGAATTGAAGGGAAATCTCCGGATTTGAGATTACTTGCATGAACTTTTCTCCTTAGAATACAACTGATTTCCATTAAGAAAAGCATCCTGACTTGGCTCGGAATATTTCCCACTACCCAGTGGGTCTCAAGAATACATGTATAAGAAAATAGAAAGTGGGCAGTAGGGGAATGGGTGTACACTGGAAAGCAAGTGCATTAATAGTATAGGAGATCCTGGGTGTCAGTTCTCCCATATGCATTACTTTAGCTCCTAAACTTTTTAGGGCCATTTCTGTTCCTTCATTGCTGCTACCACTGCTTTAGATTCATCCCTCCAACTCCTCATGCTATTCCAAAGGCAGTGGATGTCTGGTCTCATCCTGATGGAAGACGGATAAGAGACCCCCTGAGAGTTCTAGCTTTTCAGAGACCCTTGTGAACCAAGCCGTTCCAGCTTCCAGGTTGGAAGTGACTTTCTTGGATAATCATGGAACTTACAGCAGTAGCATAAGCAAGGCCCAGAGGTGAGGCACTTGCACATTGCTAACCACAGCAAACCAAGCTTATGTGTGAGGGTGAGGGTGGCAATGCCTTAATAGAACCGTGTTTCCAATTCTGTGTTTTAAATGTTGAATTTTGCCCTATCAAGGGACTTTCTCTCAGTCTTCTGCTGCTTATGGTTGGGATAGGCTCTAATCTTCTTCATCTTTCCACTGTCTGCAAGAGAATGCTTTGGAAACATTCTCCCATGACCACCATTTCTACTTTGGAGAATTCTGAGATGTTTGAACAACTGAGAGGAAAATCACTCTGTTTTTTTGTTTTTTGTTTTTTTTTTTTTTTTTTAATTAAAAAACATATAGTAGGGGCCGGCACTGTGGCGTAGTGGGTGGGGCTGCCACCTGCAGTTTTGGCATCCTATGTGGGCGGCCGTTCTAGTTCCGGCTACTCCACTTCCTATCCAGCTCTCTGCTGTGGCCTGGGAGAGCAGTGGAATATGGCCCAAGTCCTTGGGCCCTGTACCCGTGTGGGAGACCCAGAGAACGCTTCTGGCTTCAAATCGGCCCAACTCTGGCCATTGTGGCTATTTGGGGAGTAATCAAGCGGATGGAGGACCTCTCTCTCGCTCGCTCACTCACGCTCTCTCTCTCTCTGCCTCTGCCTCTCTGTAACTCTGCCTTTCAAATAAAATAAATAAATATTTTAAAAAACATGTACTGAACATATATGATATTGAATCCTCTGGGGTTTTAGCTACATGATTCTCTTAATCTTCCCTGAGAGCAAGAGGAAAAGAGTAAGCGAAGGGAAATAGTTCATTAGTTCCAATTTGAGAGGCATTTCTTCAGCTGGAAGCATTTCCCTAGCTGAACTGAAGTCAGGAGTCAGTTCGTGCTGTTTGTAACAATACATTAAGCACCAATCAGGATAAGAAGTGGGCCCAGAGGTAAGGACTGCACAGATGAGAAGGCTGTCACTGCAGCTGTGTTAGCCTATGCCCAAACTTTCTGCAGTATACTCTCTAAAAAAATATTTATTTGCTTGAAAGTCAGAGCTACAGAGAGGGAGAGACAGAGAGATCGTCCATCGATTGGTTCACTCCCAAAAGCCAAAACATGCCAGGGTTGGGCCCAGCTGAAACCAGGAGCCAGGGGCTTCTTCTGGGTCTCCCACATGGGTGCAGAGGCCCAAGCACTTGGGCCATCTTCCACTGCTTTCCCAGGCCACTAGCAGGGAGCTGGATCAGCAGCAGAGCAGCTGGGACTCAAGCAGGCGCCCATATGAGATGCTGGCACTGCAGACAGCGGCTTTACCCGCTATACCACAGCGCTGGCTCCCAATATGCTCTTTAAACACACACACACACACAAACTTAATTTTGTTCATGGCAGAACCTCAAGGAGTAGAAGACTGACTGTGAAATTCAGACAGCATTCATGAGGGAAGTACTGAAATTGTGTGACTCTCACTAGTCAGGTTTTGGAACCAGTATAGGACTGACCAAAAAAAAGTCATGAGTCAAATTTTCACAGCTGAGATTTTCAAAACCAGCATAACTTCCTTTCTTTCTTTTTCTTTTATTTTCTTCTCTCTCTTGTTTTTTTTCCTTTCCCTTTCTTCCTTAAAAAAAAAAAAGGTTCTTTTTTTCATTCTTTAATAATTATCAATAAGTGTAGGATTTGGTGTTGAGAAAAACGTTAAATGGATCATCCAATCTTTCTTTAGTTGTGAAAGTATATTATTTTCTATAACTGTTGCACAAATGTTGTATTGTTTGTGCCTGTTTTTTTCCTTCTTTAAAATACTGTGATGAGTAAACCCTAACAAATAGCAGGTATTTCTATCCTGAAACTAAAATATCTTAGTACAGATTCTTTTTCTTCTCATTAGCAAATTTCTATATTTCCTCCTCCATAGGAAAATATTTACTGTAGCTGAATCTCAGATGCTAGGGTATTCATTCATAAATTCTAAATTTTAGAGACATTTCATTAAAGAATGTAACTAAAGCATGAAATACAATGGTTATAAATATTAAATATTTGTTAGGCATCAGGTATATGTCAGATAGTGCAAGGGATAAAATAAGCTCTCCTGTACATGGAGTTTCACACTCAAGTGGAAAGATAAGAGAAATTCTAGATTAAAGACAGTACAGGGCAATGTGGTGAGTCATTTTGTGCCTGCCCTCAACCTATCCTGTTGCCAAAGGAAATTGCATCTTTTTCTTTGCAAATCTGTTTGGATTTGAAAAGGGATGTTCATTTGGAGCTGTAGATAGGTCTCTCTATTGTATCTATGGCCCTTTGGAGGTCATTATGATTGTTTGCTTGGATTTAGGGCACTCTTTGATAGTCCAGACTGGTAAGAGTTGATGTGTTACTGGACAATATATTTAGTAATGAGAATCACTTGGATCTCTGGATGAGAGGTCAGAATTTGTCCAGTTTATTTGTTCTAAAGAGTAAAGGTCATAAAATGAAGATCAGTACCCCTCAACCTAGTTCTGCACTGTATCTATGAGCCCCTGACATGATGAAAGAAAAAGATGGAAGGCAGTACTTTATAAAAGTTATGAGGTGTTTGATTTAAAAGATTCTTCTATGTTGAGTGCTCCCAAAAGGTTGCTCCTATAACCATTGCCTGTCAGGGACTATCAGGAAACATGGGATTGGGAATTCATGTAGTCCAGTATTAGAATGCAATGAGTTGAGCAGTCATTCAGTTGGCTCATTTCATATTTACTTCACTTGTGGGATGAACATTTTTACTGCATACTATTCAATTAATCAATCCCATGAAAATTCTGCTTTATAAAGTTGAATCATACATATCCACATACATAAACACCTATTTACTTATTCTTCCAAGGAAAGTTTAAAGCTTCTGAATTTAGGAATTGTTGAGTTTTTTTCTCATCCCATTCATACTGTTTTAGATATGTAGGAATCCTTGCCTTTCCCTGAATACTCCTTGTGCTTTTATACTTAAACTTTTTTTTTTAAAAAAGGTTTATTTATTTGAAAGGTAAGTTACAGAGAGAGGGAGAGACAGAGAGAGAGCTCTTCCATCCACTGGTTCACTCCTTAAATGGCTGCAACAGCCAGGGTTAGGTCAGGCCAAAGCCAGGAACAAGGAGCTTCTTCCAGGTTTCCCACATGGGTGGCAGAGGCCTGAACAGTTGGGCTGTCTTCCACTGCTTTCTCAGGCACATTAGCAGAGAGCTGGATGGTAAGTAGAGCAGCTGGGACTTGAACTGGCACCACATGGGATGCTGGCATCACAGGCTCAACCTGCTGGCCACAACTCCAGCCTCTATTTCAGCTTTTGCCCACACCAGTCCTTCTACTGGAATACCTTTCTCTTCCCATTCCCTTTCTAAATTACCAGAAACCATATGCAGCCTTCAGGATCCAGTTTAAAAAAACACTACAACCATGAACTCTTCTCCAGTCTTAGGGGAAGAATTTCCTCAGTACCATCTTAATACATTTGTGCATATTTTGTAGTGTCTTTCACATTCTGACTAATCATGGCTATTTGATATGTGCTTTCTCAGCTCTCAATTGTAAGCTCCTTGAGACAGAGCATCAGATACTATTTAATAGAGGTCTTCAGGACAAATGATCTTCAAGAGGGCACATACAGGTTTATTTACCATATATCCTGTTAGTATTGATGTCAGAAGCACAGTAGATACTCACTAAATATCCGGTAATGATTAAATGAATGACAGGCCTGGCACATGAAGGCCCCTAATACTGAATTAAATAGGAAGTTGATGTTCTATTTGTGTAATCTTAAAATGCTAATCTTTTGACAGTTCATTCACCAATTCTAGTTTAAAAAAAAATTCTATGTTTTAACATGATCTTCCTTCCCTCTTCAGCATTTCTCCTGAGACCTCCTAGGTCTCATGTGCTGTTTCAGCACTTATGTTTAATTTCCCTTTTATGTGTTCTAAGGGCCTTAACACTGTCCAAAAAGTTTAAGAAATGCCTTTTTGTTCCTTTAATTGGAGTACATTATCCTTTTGATTTGTTTGGATTTTATTTCTCTCCTGGGAAGAAGTGATGCCTACAGTTCTCAGAAATGCCTGAGAAGCACAATCACACAGTTGATACCATCCAGGCAGGGTCTTGATTTCTTAGAGATAGCCTCATTGTATCAGAGGTCCCCAAGGCCGGCAGAGGTGTAATGACTGGACAAAGGAGATGATAGTCATGGTTGAGACTGGCTTTAGTTAATAGATTCTTCTACCTGTATATTGTAACTTGGTATATTTATGCTGCCTAAGCTATGGGAGAAAGAGAAGGGTGACATGAGAGCATTGAGGCTAGGGTTGGGTAGTTGGTAGGGGAAAATCCTCATTTTAGCTCTAAAATGTAATTAATTGCTGCTTCATGCTGCCTGTTGGTGCATATAGAATTGTCTGACCTCTGGCCTTTGGCCACAGTTCAGCATGACAATGTGGACACGTTGTATTTTGACTTCATTTTGAGGATAGATCCCATCCCATATCTCCCTGAAGTGAACATGTCATGTAGTCTAGCCAAAATGCTCAGGCTACTGCAAAAGCTAAAGAATTGATATTATTAAGAACTTAGATAGACCACAGAAAATCAAAGTCAACAGTGATATATAATCATTTTCCCATTTCTAAATTGTTACAGAGGTCAGAATCTGACCTCTTGATCTAGAAGTAGAGAGGGAACATGCCATTTGTACTGGATGAGTATTGACTTCATTAGATCCTTCCCTTGTAGGGAGAGAAAGTGGATTCCTACCCCTTTACAAGAAAAATGACACCAATGTGGATAGACTTCAAGGTTCATAAACTCTTACCCAACTCCCTATACTAACCCATAAGATCTTGGTTTCCTTGCCAGGAAGCCATTTCTGTCTTAGCTTTATCTCAAAAATATTTGCCATATTTTCCTATTTAGTTTTCATAGAAAGTTGACTCCAGAATTGAGTGAAATATTCCCAATTTTAAACCGTTTGTCATTAACTATTTTGCTTATACTACCAATGCGAATTACCCTCATTCTGACTCTGTTTTTTAATTTCTTTGCATCAGGAGGAATTGTTAACTCTCTATTTTGTTGAATTATGTCTTCATGAAATTTTATATATAAAGATTTATAGCTCATGAGTGAGTACCTTGAAGGAAGCTTCCATCATTGTTTTCTTTGACAGTATGGTGTCTCAAACTGTTCAATCTGACAACCCAGTGTCTGTAGATTTATATCATGAAAAGAATGCAAATGTCTGAAAAAAAATGAAACCAGAAATTTAAATGTGAAATACTCAAGAGAGTGACATTATTTTAGTGAGTGGGTACAAATACTTTAAGAATGGTAAGAATTGTTTAAGTATTTTAATTAAGAGCATTTCATTTATTTTAATTAAGAGGCACAAAAACAGGGAGATAGAGCTTCCATCCACTGGTTCATTCCCCAAATGCCTACAGTGGCCTGCACTGGAACTGGATCAGGCCAAAACCAGAACTGGGAATTTAGTCCTGGCCCCAACTACTTGAGCCATCACCTGCTGCCTCCCAGGGTCAGCCTGCATTAGCAGGAAGCTGCATCGCAAAACAGGGCTGGGACTCAAACTCAGGTACTCCGATATGAGTAGTGGGCATCCTAACCAGCACCTTTACTGCTGGGCCAAACACCTGCCCTGGCAATAGCATTTTAGACTAGTATGTGACAACTATAGCAATGTAGGGCTGGATGAAGGAGAGAAATTAAATTATTAAGGGAGTAAGAATGATAAAGGGAAAAGAAGAGAGATAAAGGATAAAGAGTACCAGAGGGGGCCGCAGCTGTGGAATAGTGGGCTAAACCTCTGTTTGTGGTGCCGGAATCCCATTTGGGTTAAAGCCCTGGCCTGAAGTGCTGGCATCCTATATGGGCGCCGGTTCTCGTCCTGGCTGCTCCTCTTCCCATCCAGCTCTCTCCTATGTTCTGGCAAAGCAGTAGAAGATGGCCCAAGTGTTTTTGGGCCCCTGCACCCATGTGGAAGACCCAGAAGAAACTCCTCAATCCTGGCTTTGAATCGGCCCAGCTCCAGCCATTGAGGCCATTTGGGGAGTGAACCAGTGGATGGAAGACCATTCTCTGTCTCTACCTCTCTCTATCTGTAACTCTACCACTCAGATAGATAGGTAAGTAGGTAGGTAGGTAAATAAATAAATAAATAAATAATTCTTAAAAAAGGAGCACCAGAGAAAAAATATACAGAAGAAATCAGATCAGGCATACCCTCCATTCTCTGGCCCTGGTGACTTGGGCCCTTTTTTAGATAGCCCAGAATGCCCTTCCTAACCCTGCTGTCTCTTCAGGCCAGGACTCCCTCTTGCTCTTTCAGATGTTGAAAAGTAATTAAAATGAAAAGAAAGTCATATACTATTAGAAGTGTAATAATTTAGTTGCCACTCATTTCCAGAAACTGTTTTTGCAGTGTAGTACTGGTAGATACTTTTTCAGTCAAGAAACTTCTCAGAACAAGGAAAATAAGATATTTCATTTAAAAAAAACTTACTAGAGTACTTTTCTGAAATAAAGGTCAATATTGAATAATGTAGGTGTAGGTAAAAGTACTGTGAATAAATGAAGAAAATCACTGTTCTATCATACAGAAAGGGACCTTAAGAGGATCTGGTTCATTTGTCTACTTGCAGGAAGAATTAATGCTATTTTAATATTCCTCCTGGGGAGGGGATACCACTTTCCTGTATAAGCATGAAGTAGCAATAAATTATGGTTTTCATTAAAATGAAACACTCTGCTTAAATGACTGGGATTCAAGTATGACATAGAATTCTCAGGCCCATTCATACTTTTTAATGAACAAGTGTCTGCAGTTAAAAAAAGCTTCCACTAGATGGCGACCTTATATTTACGAGTATATTTATATCTGCAGCTTGGCAATTGTCTAACTCAGATCAATTGTTAAAAATGCCCCATTCCACAATATTCTTTTGAGAAAATTCATTGGAAACAATGACCAAAATGTAAACAATATAAGAAATTAGCTTTGAGCTCATTGTCAGCAGTTTCTATGTTTTTGACTCAGGTTTGATCAACCATGCAGAACCCAGAGACAGAGACTGTCTCCATCTCTAGGCTGTGAGTGTGTGCTTTAAGGTTTTGATGGTCCTTAATTGTTTAGTACAATTATTATATCCACCAGTTTAATACTTCTTCTCTAACTTACTTATATTTTTTTGTCCTATGTACTGTTATGTGAACCACCTTTCATCTAGGTATGTTTCATCCAAGTATGTAGGAATACAATTGCTACAGACTATCCAAAATGCATTTTTAAATGACCTCGGTAAAACTTAAACGATCTGAATATGCGTGCAACTGTGTATAGCTCTTATTTCTAGCTAGCATCTGGTAGTGAGAAGGCATCTGCTGTAAACTATGTGTACAAGTAACTGGCATGATGTTCTGCTAAGAGTTTATCAGACTGTGAAGTGAACAAGGGAAGTATTTCAAAATGTGTCTCACAATGTGATAACTGGAGTCCAGGGGTAATTGACAATCTCCCTCTCAGCCTCTCTTCTGTCAGGCGGCCCACCCCTCCCCTGGGGTTAAAGGCACACCCTGGCAGCCTGGGAGACTTGTGTCCTCAAGCTATTTTGGGTGTTAGATATCTGGAATTTCAGGGCCTCTGGTGGCTGGATCATTGCTGAAAAAGCCAAATGTTTCTGTTTACATCTAAGCTAATTATAGCCTCCACCTCACAGCTGAGCCAGCACCCTTGCCTGGGCACCACCTTTGCTCATTCCTTCAAAGCCCTACTCATGTGTGCAGTCCTGCTGTGTCTCTGTCAACCATTTAGTCTTTTTTTTCTTCCAACTCAGAGCAGAAGTAGATGGAAATCGAGGTGTCCTTTCTCCATTGGGTAAAACTACGTAAATCCTCTAGTGTTTTCCTCCAGAGGATGCAGTTTTCTTCCTGCCACGTGATCGCCAGCTACTACAGTAGTAGCTCTTTCTTAGCAAATGTAGTTGGTGTTCTGTAACCTCTGTAGGACCCCCAGCCTCTGGGGCTTGCTTGCTAAGCATACTTCCACTCTTCAGGGAAGTTGAACACCTGACCACGTTTAAATTATACACAACACACCACAATTCATTTTAAGGCAAATACAGCATTATTTTATTGTTGTGGATACAGGTTTGGCTTTTTACTATTCCATCAGCTTTTTAATCTGCTCTCAGAAATCCATAAGCTTTAAAATAGACTTAGTTGTAGAATCTAGAACTAAATACTAGAATGAAAATTAAGGATCTTATTGAGATTGATGAGAAAACTAGTTGCTATTTCTGTATGTCAATAGTATGCTTTGTTCATTTTTTGTTCTTTGTTAATGCTGGTACTGCATTGCCTTTCGAATTTTGGTGTCAGCTATGATCTGAAGTATTTTTTGCCTTTGCTTTGTCTGTCACAGATGGATAATCTTAATCTTATTTTACTCCTGCAAGCGCTGGTAGGTCAGGGCTTCCTGTTCAACAACACAATCCCTGTTGTGCTGAGACACTGATCCCCTCACAGCAAACAGGCTTCTGGCTTATTCCGTCCCCTTTGAGCCTGCCTGTACCTGAAAATGCATAACAAGCATTATTATTTTTCATCTGTGCCATAAAGTCAAGAGGTCAAGAAGCTCTTCTTTCAGGCACAACAAATGGGACTATCACATTGGTTGGAGTGTAGGGCACTTGGTTGCCACAAGAAGAGGAGAGAGGAGGAAAGTTGTTACTTAAAATGCATTTGAAGCCTTTAAAACAGTCCTGGCACCCCTCCCAGACCCATCTCCAAGATGCTGATAGTCACTTAGTGTTGCATCGCTGAGTAATAAGTGAGTGATCAACACACTCAAGACTTTGTTTTTTATTGGTGTTCATTATGCCAAAATTCTGAAGAAAAAAAGCTAGCTAGGTAGTAGCCAAGCCTCACACTCCAAATTTGATTTGTCCTCTATGTTATCAGTATGCAGACTTGTAACACTTATCTTTACTGACTGCCCTGTTTTAAACCAGCTGTGGTTGATAGCCAGTTTTTGAACATAATTCTTGGGCTATCCTTTGTGAGATTACTGAACTTAGCAATAAGTATTTTGCATTTGATAGGATTGCATAGCCTCATTATGGTCAAGACAGAGTCCCAGGCAGTCTGTCACTTTGACAGGTTCTTTATAAAACCGTGAATGTTGATAACAACATTGCAGATCTATGTATGTGACCACTTCTAAAAGAAATTGAAGTTAGGAATTCATCTCTCTGGCTTCACACACACAGGTCTGCAAAGTTCATTGAAAATGTGTATTATGAAAAACTAGGCATGGATTTCCAGTTTTTGTACCAAAATAAATGTATGCTTTATTTCCATCTTCCACAAACTTTTTAAAATACCCTTATATTGTGAGGATATAGATGAATATGCTAGAGATATTTATGGAAAATTTTTCAAAGAAGACATAGTGTGTACTTGTCTGGGTCCCTTGCTCACAAGGACAGTAATTACCACTTTGGGGAATTAAGTGGAAATGTAAAAAAAAAAAAAAAAAAGAGCCTGATAAAGATATAAAGCTAGATATGTATGAGGATACTTCAAAAAATGCAGAAAAAATGAATTAAAAGATGATGATTTTGATGAAATTTTTTTAAAAAATACTATTTTTCTTTTCATAATGCTTTCCATTAACTTTTTAAAAAAAATTTAAGAGGCAGAGTGAGAGGGAGAAGGAGAGAGAGAGAGGGGGAGGGAGAGAGAGAGAATCTTCTATCCTCTGGTTCAGTTTTATTGCTAAGAAAACCCCAGAATTTCTTTTGTTTGCTTTTTCAGGATTAAATCAATGATTATGTTACTTGGCTTAGATTAGGCTAGAGTTGTAATAACAGCAACTGTGTAAGGAAGATGGGTTCAAAAAGTGTCCCGGTTCAGCCATCATCTGGAAAATCAGCTGCCATTTGGTTATGAAGTAGTGAGTTTTACTTTGTAGCAACTCTGTGTCTTTGTGCATCAACCTAGAAAATATGAATTTATGAAAAACATTACTTTTAAAATACTTAGCCCAAGGACTTTTGACCTTCAGTACCACTTTGGACATATTGCTGGAGATTCTGATTGAGGAAAAAACTTGAATATATGTATATTCAGTATATATATGGAAAAGACATCATACAATAAATCCACCTGTAAAGCATAATGCCTACTACATAGACATCATTCCATTCATAAATCAGCTTTTCTAATTTCCAAATACTTGTAGTAAAAGCAATAAATATACTGAGTTTACAGAGATTGGTCCTTTTATGAACTGTATACTAAACTACATGATAAACTGAAGAAACTATGTATAAGAAAGTCTGTAACTCTCTAAGTATATGGTAGCATAGAGAATCACTCATGCAAACTCATAGAAAGTTGCCAGGATGAATTCAATTGCTTAAAAACTTTGAAAGAGACCAAATTTAAATTTTCAGTACCTTATAAAAATTTTAAATAAGTTTTAAGTTCCAGACTGAGGAATGAGCAAGTGTAGTAAAACTGTTAAACCGTGATAGTAGTGTCAGATGGTGTCAGTGTGCAGGAGCTCCATCTGCTTTGTCCAAGATAGGATCTACCAGCAAGAGGATCAGTGCGAAGTCACTCGTCAGTGTAATCCTGATCAACTGAGGAGGATCTGAGTGATTAAAATTTTTTTATTTTATTTATTTGAAAGCCAAAGTTACTGAGAGGAGGAGTGGGAGAGAGGGAGAGAAAAAGAGTGGGAGACAGAGAGAGGAGGGGCAAGATCTATCCGCTGGTTCACTCCTCAAATGGCCACAATAGCTGAGCCTGGCCAGAGCTTCATCCAGGTCTCCCACATAGGTGCAAGGGCCCAATTACATGAGCCGCCTTCTGCTGCTTTCTTAGGAACATTAGCAGGGAGCGGGATTGGAAGTGGGCAGTTGGGACTAGAACCAGCACCCTATGGGATGCTGGCATTACAGGCAGTGGCTTAACTCATTATGCCACACCACCAGCCCCCATCTTCCTGATTTTGAGGAGACTGTATCAGAAAAGCAGCAGTCTCTTATTTGTTATATGTCAAATTCAAAGGCATGGCTGCCGTGAAGACCCTATGATGTTCTATTTGCCTATCTCAGGAAGATCTGCTTGTTTGACCTTAGTAAAAAGTAGTGATTTATGTGGCTTTAAAGATGAACGCTGCATCAGGTTATTCTAATACTTCCTACCTGCAAAAACCAAGCATTTGAAGTATTCAGTCCTGAAATTTACTGGAATATTGATTTAAGAAATTCTGTTAGCACAAGTAAGTCACTGTTCCCAAACCTCTGTTTAGGGTCCTGCATATATTATCAAATTTGCCTCCAAAGAGCAGTGGGAGAAAATTCAGCTGTTTTACTGAATTTTGGAATTCTTTTAAGTATTCTTGGGAAAAGAGAAACTAGTGGGTTTTTTTGATATTTCAAAGATTCATTGTTGAAACTGTCAAAAGCATCAGTAAGGAACTCTAACCAATAGATCAGAATGCCATTCTGAAAGTATTCCTAGTGAAATCAGAAAGTCCAATGTATTACTGCACAGAACATACTATATTCAAACCATCTGCAGTTAGATGTATCCTACAGACATCTGTCCAATAGTGGATTGTCCCTACAGACATCTGTCCAATAATGGATTGTCTCCTACTCCCTGCCTCCATTCCTACTCATCAGCCAGGTGGATGTCATATGTCTAGTCGTCTTCTTTGTGTTTGAGGGAAGAGGATGACATCAGGTCAAAATGTCACTACTCCCTGAAAACCAGCTCTCCAGGAAGCATCAATCATCTCCTGTGACTTTTTCCCATCCCTGCAAGGCAACTGCATTTCAGTACAGGCCGAAGCTGGAGTTTAGGAATGGGGCACTAATTGGAGGATTTCAGAAATTAGCCTTCTGTTTAGCTTGAAGGACAGCGCAGGTAAATTCTCTGTGGAGCCTATGGAAGTACCACATGTGGATGTCTTTTTCAGATTAGGCTGAAAATCCGAGTCCTAGTTAAAGATTTCCTGGAATCCTGAAGGCTGATTTAATCCATTTATTACCAAGTACAGAAGGAAAGAGGTGGATCCGCAGGGAGGCTTTGTATGGGGTGAGGTAAAACAATTATTTCCTGGGTGAGAACTTGTTTTGGGATACTAAGAATAGCTGCCACGTTGGGTGAGAAGAACAATAGATTTGTATTTGTGTGAGTTGTGTGTATGTGTGTGTGTTTGGAAACATGCTTCAAGCAATAATGTACTAGGCATGCAATAATCTTGTCGGGTAGAGCATGCTGGCTTTGTGAAAGTGAGAAGAGAATTGATACAGCAGCCTGCTTTTGTTGATTAAGCTAAGCATGGATATGCCTTTACCAAAGGGCATAATTGACCATACAGTTAATTTAACCTTTGGGCTAAAGAGCTTAAACATGTAAGGGAGGGAACTTGTTCCCCTTACCCAAGTACTACTCTCTCCCTGCGTTCCACACATCACTGCCCCTTGAGACCAACTAAGGGGAAGGCATTTTCCTTCCCATCTTTATTAATCTGGTCACATGAAGAATGTCCTGTTTTTTAAAATCCCAAATGCTCAAATTACCATGTAGAAACCTACTCTCTATCAGTTTTCTCCAAATTTAATCCTTAGCGTCATGTCATATTTTCATTTCTCTGCAATGGTTCCCATGGCAACAACTTGCCAGCAGACAAAGTATGCCTCTGTTTTCGGCCTTCTGTACAATGCAAATTCCTTCTGGTGATCCTCAGGCAAGTGTCATATAAACAGGCAGGAAGAGAATACAGTTCCCTTGGCTAATGCCTCTAATTCCTTTCCTTCTTGCATGCATTTCCTACCCTAGCCCCAAACCAGGCTCACAGGCAAAGAGAAAAAATAGCATCTGAACCCTGCGCAGAATTACTTCAACTATTGATGAAAGTATTCCAAGGCCCTCCTATCCAACCACACGTGCAAGGACTGAGCCTTCTGGTTTAGATGGCTTTCCCCTTCCCTATGTGTCACTGACTTAACTGACATACATGCATCATTAATGAGTAATTGGGACAACAAAGAAAAACAATTTCCACTTATACCTGTAAAAAATTTCTTCAGTATAGCCCAGGGATTAAGTATGTCCTTAACTGAACCTTAACTCAGTGTCAAATGAAGATAGTGGGGACTTTCCAGCAGATTTTCTCCCAGAGGGTGGATAAGTGGCATTGGGGGGTGGGGAGGAAGTAGGGTGGCTCATCCCAAAGTTCTGAGCTCTTTAAAAAGGAAGACAGAGCAAAATGGTAGAGAAAGGAAGAGAAAGAACATTGTAACTGATGGCTGCATGTGAGCAAGGAACCTTACGTTAAGACAGGATTCACGAATGAAAAAGGTGACAAACCTACCCAAAGCTATGGCAATGCAGTGTGGAACAAGGAGTTTTTGAGTTAACAATCTGCAGATCAGGAGACTGCAAATGAGAGAATAGCTTCATGTGGACTTTGACCCAACTCTGTCTACAAAATATTATTGCAAGTAATATTTTTCTTGATTTATTTGTTTGAATTTTAAAATTCCATCGTAGCTTGGTACTTAGTTGTATGCCTAGCATCATCAAATCTCCTATGTCCTCAATATTCAGAAAACACAGGAAATGTTTTCTGAAATTAAACAGGACTTATTTGAATGTGTGTTTTTTTTTTTTTTTAGAAAAATTGAATTCAGGGGAATGAAAATAGATGTTAGAAATAAAAATGTGGTTACAAAAATTATCAAATGTAAATTATCCCTTTTTTGCGGAGTCTTATAAAATATGTGATACTTAAGCACACTGAAGTTTTAAAGTTAGCTGCTTATATTGTACAAAGGTATTTTTGGCTCTTTAAAGGTTATTTTCCTATATTAAGAAAAGTTTTCTTGTATTAAAAACTTTCATTGTGACTCAGGTTTTGTGTCTATGTATAGACACATATACATAGGAGGTGTTTTTCTTTGCACATTTGTTTTGCACAGCTAAAGTTATGAGGTTTAAATGTCCAGGTGTGCAGGTCAACTGCCCTTGATGATAGGTAGATTAAAGAAAGCATTTGACAAATAGACAAAAGAAATCACATTGTATTTCTTTGTATCTCTCCATCCCTCTTACATGTTCCCAGCCCTCTACTAAAGAATATCTCTTATTTAGTCAGGGAATATTATGTTATTTTTTGGAAAGTCTGTAGGAAAAATAAGATGGAACTCTCAGGCAGACAGAACATAAAGCAGTTCCCATATCTGCTATAAAGGTGATTCATTTCCAGAATGTATTGTTGGAATAAATTTTATGTCCAATACTTGTAGCATCTTTCCACTCAGGGGACTCTTACTAGTCTTGAATGTGGAAAAGGCACAAGAGTTCAGGTCAGAAAGGACTACTCTATGTTCAGTTTTACTCTAGGAAATTTGGTTTTAGCTTTGATGACACCTAGTGTCAACGGAATGCAATAAGTGTTTAATATTTCTGCTTTATGACATTTAGGCATTTTTCTTCAACATCCTCAACTACATTTTCCTCCTTGAAAAATGCAAGCCTTATTATTTTTTGTTTGGAATTAAAAGATAGCTGATAGATAAACCAATACTTTTTGTTTGAAGAGCCAATCAAGTTTCTTTGTACTTAGCATATAGAAAGGACTAAAGGAAGCTTAAGGATTACAACACTGTCTTCATATGAAGGATTTTTTCCAGGTTGATTGGGAGATCAGAGGTAAACCTACTGAATTTGTGAATTTCAACAACCACCACAAGTGAATGTGCCAAAGAAAGGTTATTTCAAGATTATTCTCGGTTATTGCTAATACTGTAGTTTATTTTTCCCATTTTATAACCATTCAAGGGCACCCCCTACCCAGAAGTATATAAGTAAATGATAAGATGAACTATAGGCTCTTTCTGTTCAGAGAAGAATTATGAGTATTACATAGAAGCATTCTAAAGGAAGACAGTAGTAGTTAACAATTATAAGTAGAAAGGTTATATTTTTAGGTATTTTGAAAATACATCCATGAAAATGTTCTTGTTTCCAGAACTATTAGATAATTGATTATGTTTGACCTCTTCTGGGGGCTTAATCCTCTTCTTACTGCATAAAGAAATTCTGCATATAAAAACATTTTTAATATGCCAAACACACACAAATTTTCCATTTTCATTTGAGGTCATATAATTTACTTGGTGAAATATTTCACTCTTCTATAAGTTTAAGAAAAAGTTCTAAGCAATGATGCAATATTGGGTCATTATTTTAATAAAATGAAGACAGGTTCTAGTCTCCTATGCTTTTGTGACATCTTACTTCACTACCATATGTGCAGCACAACAGTGACATCTTAAGGCCAAGTAACCAGAGCTCCTTTAGTCAGAGAAAGAACTTGAGATTTGATTTCAAAGAAATTTCATTGTATTATCAAATCGTTTTCAAGTTTACAATATGCGATTGGTAGATCAAGTGCTTCTTTATTTATGACTTCTTTTGCAGTCTTTGTGAACATTTTAATGTACATTAGTAAACACATTTTACATAGACATATTGTATATTAATGCATGCATTTCACTGAATAGTTTATTGATACTCCCCTTGTAAAGCTTTTATGGAAGAACCAACAAGCCACAGCAGTATAGCAAAAGAGGCTTAATCTTTATAAATTGGGGCCTTTTCTGTCTCTTTGCTAGCCTAGGTGGCTGTATACAAATTTGGGTGGGAGGGGGCAGGAAACACCTCTTAACATTTAAGGTTTTCTACTTGGGTATACTCTAGCCAATTCAAAACAAATTGCTTACTTTAATAAAAAGAATTTTACCATTTTATAAAGAAATTAAATCACAACATGTTTAATTGAAATGGCTGTATTGTAATTAATATTTTGAGATAATTGTGATTTTGAGCTTATATATAAACTGTCATTTTTGTATGTGTTAAAAAGACTACTGTATCACGATTAACAGTACTTTTTAGTTGGATTACATATTGATGTAAATAAAACTGAATGAAGACATATTTACTACTTTATTAACATAGATTGTGAATGTACTTAATGGTTTTTTTTGCAGTATGAGACCATAATGACCTTGAAAGCTGCTTCATTTTATGTGCAAAGAAGTTCTATGAATCTATATTTTAAATTTACTGAATCAGTGAAATTAATTACTATGTCAGTTAATTTGCAAATGCAAGCTGTATTCTCCAGTTTTATTTTATGTATTGACACTAATCAGTAAAGGTGTACAATGTGATTAGAATGCATTTTGAGGATGCTTTCTGTACAGATAAAAAATACAGGGACTAAAATAATGCTGTGCAGTGTATAGCAGAGCCATTTTTCGGCTTTGGTGTACTCAACTTTTTCAGTATTTAAAAAAGTGTTTTGAATAACATAAAAGTCTCTTTATTGTATAAATAATAAAATGTCACCTTATTGTAAGTGTCTTTTGTTTACTATCAAAGCAAAGTTCCAAGTCAGTGATAGAGTTGTAATATGAGAAGGGCATGTTTCTTTTAAAACAAAGACATTGCAATCAATATTTGAGAAATGTAACTTTTATTATGAACATGTAGTGTTTATTACAAATGATTTTTTTCATCATATAAGCATGCCTCAAACATCCAAAAGCTAACTATTGATCTATATTAGTGGATATACATGCTATTGAACTGGCTACTTAATAGAATCATATGGTAAGTGTTATAATGACTGATCAACCTATTTCCAATGATTTTGGTGTAAACAAAAATGTTTATATTTGTTTTTTATTAAATCAAATTTAACTATATCAAATTCCCTTTTAGAACATTACTGCATGACTACAAGTTTAGTCTTATCAAGGGTGCATGCAAATTTTAAAATTACAGTGCTGGAAATGAAAAGATGGGCAAGATGCACAAGGCTGGATTAAAACACATTCAAAGAGTAGATTAAATATACAAGTACCTGCCTACTAAGTGTTTGAATAAAGTACATTTTTATTTCTTTATTTTTTTAATATGAAGCTTTTTCCTTTTGCCTTTTAAAAACAAGATATGTTTATTTATTTGAAAGACAGTGACAGGGAGAGAGGAAGAAGAGACAGAGACAGAAAAAGTGAAACAGACCAAAGTCAGGAGCCAGGAACTCCATCCTGGTTTCCCACATGGGTGGGTGGCAGGAATGAAGACATGAGCAGGAAATGGGACTAGAAGCAGAAGCAGAGGTGGAATTGATTCCAGGCTGATAGAGGATGCAGGCTTCCCACTGCACCACGCCTGGCTCCATTTTAAGATTTCTTGTGGTATACCTTATTAGTAGTTTTCTGTTGCTGTTGTATATAGAATTAATAAGTTACACTCTTAAGTGCTTTTTTAAAATAACAAAAGGTACTTTTAAATGCTCAATATTCTCATTGAAGAGAAAATATGTAGATCCAATCTCTTTAATTATCTTATGAAAATAATGTCACTGAAAAAAAAAAACAGTAAGTTTTAAATTCAAAATTGTGACAGCAGTTGTAACAACACTTTCAGTATTTTCTCCAGACTGTATCTTCAGTATCAGTTCTGTGACATTAATGATCCTAGGAAAATGATTTCATAAAACAGAGGAAAAAGATATACCCAATAGGTAGAAAAGAAAAATTTCAATTAAAGAACAAGGCAGTGAATGTTAACTTTACACTTACACTGAGAATGTCCACGTCACAAAAGTCTTAGTATAAGTAGGAAAAGTCTTAGTTTTTTAAATGATAAAGAACAATATTCAATAAAATTCAGTTCAATTTATAGTTAATAAAAAGGTAACAATTGGGTAATCACGTTCAGGTCAGTTAGTCACGTTATATGGAATACAAAAAAAATGCAGAGAAAAAACAGATCCACAAAAATCTTTGTTATAAAAATATTCAACCACATTAAATGAAAGTTCATTTTTAAAGAAAGTACCTACTACATTATAGAGGAATGAAAGTGATTAGGATAATTCATGTGCAAAACATTCAATCAAGGCATGAACACTACACATGTGGTTATCACCTTTAGCAATGTAAACAACATCTTCAAAATGTTAAATTGTTGTTTTGTTAGTATAAAAATAGTTAGTGGCAGTGATTATGGCTCAGGTCAATTATCCCAATACCTAGCTGAGATTAGGGAATTCTAAGATCAAGTACAGCAATCATCTTTCAGATGATACTAAAACAAAATGTTATATCCTTTTAACAGTTAACATGACCAGGATTATAAAACAACTCTAATTTAAGTAGGAATTCGGTCTCTCAAATATTCCAGTATAGCCGCTGTTCCCTTCATTAATATGGCAGCTCGAGGAACCCGGAATGGATTTCCATCTAGAAGTAATGTTCTAAAGAAATATGAGAAATTGAAAATGTAAACATCTTTCCTAAGTAGGGTTTTTTTTCTAATTTCATTTCTAATTTTGTATATAAAAATGTGGTTTTTATCTTATTTGTCCCTTTCCAAATCTGAGCATTTAAACAATTGAACTTACAACTATAATAATAAACAAAACATTACTTATTATGTGAAAGGTACTACATGAAGTAATTAACATTCTTGATTCAATTTTCTTAACAATTCAATGATTTAGAAACCATTAATACTCATATTTTATCAATGAGGAGACACAAATTTAGACAAGTTAAGACTTGTTTAAGACAAAACAGCTACTAAATGGTGGAGCTGTGATTTGAAAGCCTTCTATTTAGTCTCATCAATCTTATAATGAACATATACACTAAATGGTTGAATTATATTTTGACAAATATCAAAATGAGCAGACTGATAAGCATCCACGCCAAGGATCATAATGTAATTCATATCACCCTCTCCATCTTCACCAAAACATTAACACATGTCAGCCTTCCTCCCCGCCTAGACTAGATGCACATTTATAAGGCTATTTTCATGTTACAAAATAAGGTTCAATTTAATATTTAAGGGTATATTCTTTAGTTTTTTACCTAGTGAAGTACTGAATCAGAAGAGATTTCTATATTAATTCTAAAATGTATTTACATAAACAAAACTCAAAGGACTCATACATTACATAGTTAATCTAAACTACATGTTCAAATAGTTATGTTTCTTGGAATTCTTCTAAAAACTTGTAAGTTCTAGAAAATGGAATTAATTACAGTGAAACCTCATTATTTGTGCATACCATATTTGCAAATTTGCCTACTCATTAAAATTTATTTTTTAACCCCCAAAACATTATGTGTGGTACTTCCCAGGTCATTTGCAGATATGTAGAGCAGCAAAAACTTTGAAATGCCCAGAGGCCACCTTTCCAGCTAAGGTCGAACACAGTGATACTTTGCCTTCTTATTTCAGCTCTCGTACCATAAATGAGTGTCCTTTTTTGTGGTACATTGAGTACCACGTTGTTTTTTGTTTTGTTTTGTTTTGTTTTTTTTTGAATTTTCATACTTTTATTGGCAATTTCTCTATCTAAAATGGTCCCCGGGAGTAGTGCTGAGGGGCTGCCTACGTCTCCTAAGCACAAATAGACCTTATGGAGAAAATACATGTGTTAGGTAAGCTTCATTCAGGCATGAATTATAGTGACTTTCACCATGATTTCAATATTAATAAATCAACAATAATAAAATAATTTTTAAAATTCCAGAAACTCAAACCAAAATTCTGTATTGTTTGATTGATGAAAATGTGATCAGATTGTACTTCTCCTTGGAGCAATGATTCAGTATTTAATAATTTGGTATTCACAGTGACTTTATAGAACAAAACTATCACAAATAATGAGACTCAACTATAGTTATCTCCTATAAATTACTAATAGGAAGTACCAGAACAGAGGGTGGTGCTGTCTCTATTAAGCAAAATATGTCAAATCACTAATATGCAGTTTTCAATAATTAAATTATTTTGACATATTCTGATAGCTACCTGGTTTTCTGTTGACTTCAAACACCTTTTATATTCACATAACAAGCACTTATTGGGGGCTTACCATGTGCTAGGCACTGAGACAGCTGTTTTCTTAAAAAAAAAAAAGACCAAAAAATGGATAAATGAGCTCAAACAAAGCATGATAGAAAATCAGAATAGAGACTAAATCTGCCTGGAGAATGAGAAAGGTTTTCAAATGTAGTGTCTGGGTTGATTATTAATGAATGCAGGTCAAAGGCATCCAACGCTGAGGCAATAGTAAATGTAAAGAGAAAGACCATGCCAGCATGAAGTGGAATGGTGGTTGTCTATAAACAGATCTTGAAAAACCATTTTTGCAAAGCAAGGAATTTATATTTAAATGATATTTTTATGTAGTAGTTAAAAAAGGTATCTCTGGAAGCAATCTAACATATTTTGCTTTGATGTGAGGTTTCTAAAATGAATGCACTGCAGGTTCTTAAAAAGATGGCATCTGGTGCAGTCATTTAGCACAGTGGTTCAGTCGTGGCTTAGGATGCCCACATCCTATATATATATGTGTGTATATATATATGTGTGTGTGTGTGTAATGTAACACCATATATATGTAATATAATACCATATAAACAAAGCTAAAATATATTTGATAAAATTTTACAAACAGAATTAAGATTCTAACTTTTATTAACTTATTTTAACTGGATACTAAATTTGTTACTTCACTCCTTGTAAGATTCAACAAATCCATCAAATAAATGATGAACTCAGTAGAATAGTGGTTACCTTAAGTTGACACAATTACCAAGCTCTGGTGGAATTTGAAGAAGGTCATTATTTTGAAGGTCTAACGTAGTCAGATTTTCCATTGTCTTCATTTTCTGAGGATCCACAGATCCAACCTGATTGTTACTAATCAGAATTGTTTCAAGTGTGGGGATATGATACAGAACTTCAGGCAATATTTTGAACCTGTAATACATGAACAGAAAACCTAAATGTACTCAAGATCAAAATCTTTCCTTAAAAGAAATGATCTACATTTGATATCATGAAATAATATTTTTATTATATATTTCTTTATATTTAGTATAAGAGCTATATTTAAATTTTCCAGGAAATAATTAAAATAGACTAATTTTAGAAACCTTAAAATATATATTAAACAGACTTGTAACTGATACTATTTACATAGTCAAACAAAAGTTCAGAATTTATTTGCCTACGTTCTTCTGTATTCATGTAGCTATGCTGGTATTCTTTAGTTCACTTTATTCCTTATAAAATAGAATCACTGGCAATATATTGAAGTAAATTTGAGACATATTTTGCTTTGATGAGGAGTTTCTAAAATGAATGCACTTCAGGTTCTTAAAAAGATGGCATCTGGTGCAGTCATTTAGCACAGTGGTTCAGTCATGGCTTAGCATGCTCACATTCTATGTCAGAATGTCTGGATTTGAGTCCCAGCTCTGCTTCCAATTCGTCTCCTGCTAATGTGCACCATGGGAGATAGCAGATGATGAATCAAGTACATGGAGCCCTGCCACCATACAGGAGACTTGGATAGAGATCTGGGCTCCCAGCTTCAGGGGGCCCATCTCCAGCTGTTGTAGGTATTTTGGAATGACCTAACAGATGGAAGAGCACTCTCTCTCTTGTTCTCTCTCTCAATGGCCTTCTAGCACAGCTCCTCTCTGAGAGCTGGAAAGACTGATACCTCTTAATAAAAAACTATTGAAGATACCCTAGGGGACAAAAGCTGGAAAAGTTTTAGTGTGAGGTAAACTGTAGTTTGACTAGAAAAGACATGGATGGGCTAAAAAAGAGCTTTATAACTATGACCTTTTTACTTGTCATACTACCCTCTCTTTGCTACCTTGATACAAAAAAAGCAATAGTAAAGTAGAAACTTGAAGCAACTCTGATGTTCCACTGGAACAGGAAAGCCAATAAGCAGGCATACAAATGGTAGCCACTTCTCTTATTCCCTCTCCCCAATCCATGAACAAGAGTATTATTAAAGATGTAGCCTACCTATTAATAGAGAAGTTAGGAGTAGCTTTTGCCACTTCCTTCCTCAAAGACATTACTTGCAATGTAACGGATAGCTCAAATCACATAAAGAAATTACAATGTAACTGATAGTTCAAATCACAAGTAGAAATCAGGAGAGACTGACAAATGTATACATTTTAAAATAATGATGATGGTATAATCAATTCAAGAGAGAGCACAAATAATGGAACAGACAGAACAAATATTAAAATAAACAGTACTTATTTTAATGTCACCATGCATTAGTTTTTCAACTGTATATAAGAATAGTATAGTACCACACATATAAACTTTTTATAAAGACAATATATTTGAAGACCTTAAGACATTTATTAAAGTGCATCCACAAGATTAAATTTTCATTATAGGAAACAATATAACATAGCTGGTAAGAGCTCAATTTTTAGAGTCAAACCACCTGGATTTAAATCCCAACTCTGTAATTTACTATGGTATAGCTTAGGGGAATTATTTAATATCTAATCCTTGATTATTTTTAAATGAACATAATAGCAAAATCTACAAAATAGAGATTTAAAAGGATGAGATAATGCATGTATGGTACTTAGCACAGCACCAGCAGATAATAAGCTTCCATAAATATTGGTTAATTCTTAATTATCTGCAGTACATTGATAGTGTTGTTGGGAAAAAAAAAAAAAAAACTAAGTTTCATTTAACAGGGCTAACTGCTTATAAGTCAGCTTCATCTATTACTTTTATACCTCTACTTCCTCATTTTACAGCCCAAGGAGTACTGAACTTCCTGAAGTTTACCAAATACACCATGTTCTCCCATCTTTCTGCCTTAGCACATGCTGTTTGCTCTAACTGGGATGCCTTCTCCCTGTGCCTAGAAAATGCCTGTATTTTTCAAGACTAGTCTTCAATGCTACTTTCAGGTAATCACAGAAGACATGTTTTCCTATGCCCTATTCTTCAATTACAGCAAAACTGCTCATGTGCATAACTGTCTATCAGGCTACAGGATTTTCAAAATTGCAAAAAAGAACAACAAAAAAAAACTATTAGATAGCAACAGTAAGAACTCAAAGCAAGCAGCATCATTTTCAATTCAAAGTAAAACTAAGTAAAAACAAAATCTGGAGATCAAATTAAAGTAAAATTAGGAGCCTTTTTGTTTATTTAGCTTTTGATAGTTTTCTCTAGTAACAAAGACCATTTTCCCCCCATAGGATAGTTGTTAAAAATGTTTGTTCAGTTTCTTACCTATTAAAGGAAAGATTGATCACTTGTAGTCTTATCAATGATTTCATTTCTTCAGGTAGAGAATTTAAAAAATTGTTCCTAAATTGGAAACCAAAATATATGAATAATAAAGTCTGAATATTTTTATAATTTATACTTAAAATGTTGAGCAGGAAAAAAAAAGATACATAGATCAGCTTGTCAGTCCTTGATCTAATCTCATTCTGGCTGAGTCCTAAGAATTCTGAATCAGTCAATTATCTTAAATATTTTGTTAGCATACCAAATCCCAATACCAATATGCAACCAATTAATAATGCAAATAACTATACACCCTTGAAGGTAAACAGTGTCAACTAATCCCCTAACTCCTTTAAATTGAGTTTAGCAGTATTTCTCACGGTTAGGGTCCTTTGTATTACATCTGTAATGCCACATGAAATAAATTTTCTATTCGTGTATTACATATGTCCTGCACACAGACATGAAACTCCAAGAAGAATGTTGAAATATGAAAAGAATGAAATAGGAAAGAGACTCAACATGTTTAGAAATTTGCAGCTTTCTACTTGATATTAAGCAATTGCATTTCTATTTTAAGTTTAGAATATAAATTTAGAATGCATATGATTTTAGATCTTATAATTAAACATTCAGTAAACAGAATCTCATTTGGTGTTGAAAGGGTCTAGGAGTATATTACAAGTAAACAAGAAAGTAGAAATATTCTAGGGCTGGCATTGTGGAAGGATAGGACACTGCCTATGACACCAGCATTCCATATGAATTCTGTTTTGGGTCCTGGCTGCTCCACTTCTGATCTAGCTTCCTGCTAGTGTGCCTGGAAGGGCAGCAGAGGATGACCAAGTGCTTTGGCCCCTGCACCCACATGGAGGACTCAGATGAATTTCCAGGCTCCTTCCTGCCTTAGGCTTGACCCAGCCCTGGTTCATTGTGGCCATCTGGGGAGTGAACCAGAACATGGGAGATCTCCCCCCAATCCTTCTCTCTAACTCTTGCAAATGAATACAAAGATTCCAAAGGCAGTAGAACTACTAACAGAAAGTATGTGTGCAAAAATGATTTCCAACTAGATAAACACCTATTACAACTGAATAATCTTCTTCTAACCTATTCTTTGGATTCAGAAGTCAAGCCTAACATGCAAGTGTCACACTTTCTATAATGTAATCTACATCCTTTTTCTTTCCCCTTCTACGCTTTTCTTCAGTTATTGTCTGTTGTGTTGTTTGATTTTTTTTTCCTAGAGAGATTTTAACTTACTGACTATGAGATGAAAGCACATGTTGATCACTTAATTTAAAAGCTTTCAAATATGCTTACAGACAGAAGCATATTTATGGAAGCATATATATGGAAGATTGGGACAAAATGAAATGCGTGGCAGGAATGGAGATAAGGATTCACTTCCCCTGCTCCATGAATAATGAACTAAAATGTGGTTTTACAGTTTTGGCAATGTAATGCCACCAGGAAAAAGAAGCAATTCCATATCTACTAGGAGCAGGATATTAGTAGATTGGCTTTAATCCAATAAGCAAAAACATTTGTATCTACCTGAAGAAAAAAAATCCTCAGAGAAATAACTTATTGTTATTTGATTGTTGCTTGAGCAATCAAGAAAAAATCAAATCTGGGCAAATTTTATACTTCATTCATTAATGACTTGAATCCATAAAATCAATTGTTACTCCTATATCCTGTAACAAAAGCAGTTTTTTGCTTCAATTACATAATATAACTGCTTCTAGACATTTTATAATGTTTTAAAACATAATATATTACCTTTTATCATATGTTTTGTTATTTAAATTTTCATTACATTTAATCATGAATACAAGAAACATTAAGTCAATTCCTAGGTTTGGAAGGTGTCTCAAATGACAGCTTAATTAATGTAAAGACTGAAACAGAAAAAATTAAATATTTCTAAGTAAGCCTAATCAAGTTTTACAATTTTAACTACGTTATCAAATTTTAAACAAGCTAAAAACATATCTGTTAACAATATAAAAGTACAAGGAGCACCATGTAGTAGGAATAGAGTTTAAAAATAAAATTTTAAACCACAAGCAAAGAAATGCTTAGGTTGTTGAGACATATATATTATTATCCTTCAGGAACTGTGACATACTTCTGATTCTGCCACTTCAAATTGTACACACTGAGATTACATTTCCTATTACCTCTGCAGAACCTTAAACACAGTTTCTTTGTGTTGCCACTCATAATGATCTTCTACTTTATTTCTGGCCTTATCTGTTTAATATAGTACTTTAAAACCAAAGCGGTTCTTTGAAGAGAAGCATGCAAGCTCCTGTGCCAGCACAGTGCTGTGCCAGTTTTATTTTAGTTACTTTCAGGAAAGGACCGATGTGAAAGGAATACATGCCTCTTATCACTTACTTTAAACACTACTTATAAATGATAGATGTCTGATTAACATATTTCCTGAATACTTAGATATCTCCTAAACTCCTATTAATGAACTAAAGAGCATTTTCCATACTTACCCACAAAAATATGATGTTTAGGGCAAAAGTTAGGTGAAAGTAAGAGAAGTTATAAGTCAAGCAGTAGTATCAATAAGTACCTGAGATCTAAAAAAGTCAATTTTTGAAGCATACATAACTCCAAGGATATACAGGAAAGCTTATTAAAACTGAGGTTGACTTCAGTAACCATTTCCTTTAGTTCTGTTATCCTGAAACAAAAATGTTAAGCGTTAGCACTTTTATTTATAGCCAGAACTTCAAAACTACAAACAAATCCTGAAGAGGGAAAAGTTCCATATTATTTCTGTTAATTAGGATTTTTTTGTAGCTTTCAGTTTTTCATAAAATGTTCGACTATGGATGGATTAATAATACAAATAAATTTCTGAAAGACAGTCTTACCAGTATCTGAGAGTTTTTATTTGATTTTAAGATTGATACTGAGGTTTAATTTAAAGCCCATATATTTTATATTTAACCAATTATGGCAAAAAGAAGAAAAATCAAATCTAGGCAATTTATATGGTTTACATTATTTGGCTAATGACTAAATTGTTAGATATATATCCTGTAACAGGAATTTTCTGTTTAAATTGCATAATATAATGCCAACTGTACTTGAGTACTTCAAGATTTTTTTTAACTTTTATTTAGTAAATATAAATTTCCAAAGTACAGTTTATGGATTACAATGGCTTCCCCCCCATAACTTCCCTCCCACTCACACTCCTCCCATCTCCTGCTCCCTCTCCCATTCCATTCATATCAAGATTCATTTTCAATTATCCTTATATACAGAGGATCAATTTAGTATATATTAAGTAAAGATTTCATCAGTTTGCACCCACATAGAACATAAAGTGTAGAATACTGTTTCAGTACTAGTTATAGCATTAATTCACATTGGACAACACATTAAGGACAGAGATCCCACATGAGGAATAAGTACACAGTGACCCTGTTGTTGACTTAACAATGTGACACTCTTGTTTATGGCGTCAGTAATCTCCCTAGGCTATAGTCATGAGTTGCCAAGGCTATGGAAGCCTTTTGAGTTCACCGACTTTGATCTTATTTAGACAGGGTCATAGTCAAAGTGGAAGTTCCCTCCTCCCTTCAGAGAAAGGTACCTCCTTCTTTGATGGGCCGTTCTTAATACTGGGATCTCACTCGCAGAGATCTTTCATTTAGGTCCTCTTTTTTTTTTTCCAGAGTGTCTTGGCTTTCCATGCCTAAAATACTCTCATGGGCTCTTCAGCCAGATCCGAATGCCTTAAGGGCTGATTCTGAGGCCAGAGTGCTGTTTAAGACATCTGCCATTCTATGAGTCTGCTGTGTATCCACTTCCCATGTTGGATTGTTCTCTCCCTTTTTGATTCTATCAGTTAGTATTAGCAGACACTAGTCTTGTTTGTGTGATCCCTTTGACTCTTAGACCTATCAGTGTGATCAATTGTGAACTGAAATTGATCACTTGGACTAGTGAGATGGCATTAGTACATGCCACCTTGATGGGATTGTATTGGAATCCTCTGGCACATTAAAAACATACTTCAAGATTTTTTTTTTTTTTGACAGGCAGAGTGGACAGTGAGACAGAGAGAGAGGCAGAGAGAAAGGTCTTCCTTTTGCCATTGGTTCATCCTCCAATGGCCACTGTGGCCAGCATGCTGCAGCTGGCGCACTGCGCTGATCCGAAGGCAGGAGCCAGGTGCTTCTCCTGGTCTGCCATGCGGGTGCAGGACCCAAGCACTTGGGCCATCCTCCACTGCACTCCCGGGCCACAGCAGAGAGCTGGCCTGGAAGAGGGGCAACCAGGACAGATTCCGGTGCCCTGACCGGGACTAGAACCCGATGTGCCTGCGCCGCAGGCAGAGGATTAGCCTATTGAGCCGCGGCGCCGGACAAGATGTTTTTAAATGTAGTATGTCAACTTTTTTCATAATCCTTGTTATTTAAATCAATATTACATTCAATCAAGATTACAAGAAACTATTAAGGCAATTATAGGTTTTGCAAGTGTCACCACTGAGTAGCTGAAGTTAAAGACTTAGAGAGGGGGGTTGGTGCTGTGGCATAGCGTGTAAAGCTGCTGCCTGCAGTGCCAGCAGCATCCCATATGGGTGCTGGTTCGAGTCCCAGCTGCTCCACTTTCAATCCAACTCTCTGCTGTGGCCTGTGAAAGCAGTAGAAGATGGCCTGAGTCCTTGGGCTCCTGCACCTGTGTGGGAGACCCAAAGGATGCTCCTGGCTCCTGGCTTTGGATTGGCGCAACTCTGGCCATTGCAGCCAACTGGGGAGTGAACCATCGGATGGAAGACCTCTCTCTCTCCCTCCCTCTCTCTCTCTTTCTCTGCCTCTCCACTCTCTGTGTAACTCTTTCAATTAAATAAATAATTTAAAAAAAAGATAACATCACTTAAAAACCTTTCCTCCTTCTATCTCTTTTTCCTCAGTTAACTTTGACTCAGGACCTGGCAGAGCAAACTTAAACTGACAGCAAATCTAAATCAAATGTTCTGTCAGCCCTTTAGACAAGATAGAATCAGGATAAGAGCTAGATCTCCTTTTGCAATGCACTTTCTTAATTAAAGTTTATATTATCTTTCAAGATCTACATTTCCTAAAGTATACTCTGTAAAACAGAAAGCAAAGTCTGACTTTTAACATTTTTAAACATTTTAAATATTTTTTGGCAGTCAGTTGAAAGCTTTTATTTTCTTAATATATCATCTTTATCATTAGCACTATTTTTTTTCTTAAGATGCATTTATTTACTTGAAAGGCAGGGTTACAGATAGAGGAGACAGAGATAGAGAGGGTCTTTCATCCACTGGTTCACTCCCCAAATGGCCAGTGTCCAGGGCTGGCCAGGCCAAAGCCAGGAGCCAGGAGCTTCATCTTGGTCTCTCACATGGGTGCAGGGGCCTGGGCACTTGGAGCATCTTTAGCTGCCTTCCCAGGCAAATTAGCAGAGAATTGGACCAGAAGCAGAACAACTGGGACACAAACTGATATCCATATGGGATGCTGGCATTTCAGGCAGTGGCTTAACATGCTATGCCACAAAACCAACCCCTTCCCTTTTATTTATTTTTTAAGGATTTATTTATGTATTTAAAGGCAAAGTTAGAGAGAGAAGAGGAGACACAGAGAGAGGTCTTCCATCCACTGGTTTACTCCCCAGGTGGCTGCAATGGCCAGGACTGGGCCAGGCCGAAGCCCAAAGCCAGGAGCTTCATCCAGGTCTCCCACATGACAGCAGGGGCCCAGATACTTGAGCCAACATCCACTCTTTCCCAGGAGTATCAGCAGGGAGCTGGATTGGAAGTGGAGGAGCTGGGACTCAGACCAGTGCTCATATGGGATGCCAAGGTTGCAGGCAGAGACTTTACTCTCATGCCACAGTGCCTAATTCCCACCTCCCCCTGCCTTTTTAAAAAGATTTATTTATTTACTTGAAAGGCAGAATCATAGAGACAAGAGAGAGGGAGAGACAATGTATTTTTTTTCTCAAGTATTAAAGTGCTTGCTAAACATTATGTTTTTGCTAAATGCTTTACATATATTATATCATTTTAACTTGGTTCTTATCCCTATTTCACTGGTGAAAAAATAAAAAGTAGCTACTTAATATGTACAAAACCTCAGGTAACAGATCTGGAATACAGTACAAGTTATCAACTCTACTCCCCAAGTTTCTTTTCATTGTTTTAATTATTAGTGTATTTATCAACTTTCTTTGAGTATGTAGTTTATTACTAGATAACAAACATTTTTAAGGATTTAAAAATATATAACAGTAATTTTCTCTAACTTTTCTATAGTTAACATCATCAAAAACTAAACAGTAAAAAGTATAATGCAAAGTATAATGACTTCTAATGATTACAAGTGAAGAATCCTTTTATTGGTAGAAATATATTAACAGAGTTCAGTATATTTTGCTTTTTTATTATTAGAAAAATTCAATGGCAGGGCTGGCGCTGTGGCATAGCGGGTTAGATGCCACTACCTGCAGTGCCAGCATCCCATATGGGCACCAGTTTAAGGCCCGGCTGCCCCACTTCCAATCCAGCTCTCCGCTATGGCCTGGGAGGGCAGTAGTGGATGGCCCGAGTTCTTGGGCCCCTGCACCCACGTGGGAGACCCAAAAGAGGCTCCTGGCTCCTCGCTCCTGGCTTTGGATCAGCGCAGCTCCGGCCACTGCAGCCAGCTGGGGAGTGAACCAGCGGATGGAAAACTTCTCTCTCTGCCTCTCCTTATCTCTCTGTGTAACTGTGACTTTCAAATAAATAAATCTTTAAAAAAAAAAAAAGAAAAGAAAAAAGAAAAATTCAGTGGCTTGGCTATTCATTAACATAAAGCCCCAAATTAAAATTTCTATTAATCTATACAAACCCAGCATTGGATGATGACCTCATAACACTTTTCTTCTACATTTCATTATACATGTAAAAGAATTTAATACTTTTAATAATTCTGATACCTAGTTTAAGAGTATAAAATGTAAAAGAAAAAGAAACAGTTTTACAGAATCTGTATCTCTGCCAACAAATGAAAGTATTTCATTTTGCTAATCCCTCTAATGTTAATAATGAAATAAATTTTACATATACTTTCAAATTAAAAAATCCATGAGAGGGGCCAGCGCTGTGGTGCAGCGGGTTAATGCACTGGCCTGCAGCGTCAGCATCCCAGATGGGTGCCGGTTCGAGACCCGGCTGCTCCACTTCTGATCCAGCTCTCTGCTATGGCCCGGGATAGCAGTAGAAGATGGCCCAAGTCCTTGTGCCCCTGCATCCACATGGGAGACCTAGAAGAAGCTCCTGGCTCCTGGCTTCGGAATGGCACAGCTCCAGCCATTGCAGCCAATTAGGGAGTGAACCATCGAATGGAAGACATTCTCTCTCTCTCTGCCTCTCTTCTCTCTCTTTCAAATAAAATAAATCTTTAAAAAAAATACCACAAGAAATAGTTTTTCTTGCAACTAAGATGTGAATACAACTGTCACACTTTACTAGAAATGGCATCATAAACACTTCTTACCTTTTTGGAATCTCAGATAGTTGATTCTTACTGAAGTTAACAGAAATTATGATGTTGTTTTTTATTGCATCAAACACTTCATCAGGAATCAAAGTTGTTTGCTTATCACTGAATGAAAAATTTTTTGAGAAATGAATCATTCTTAGCAGTCCAGAAAGAAATGATTATTACTCTTCATTTTTACAGGGACTTATGAAATTTTTCAAGGCAGCTGATTATGACAGCTATTGGTAAAGAATACCAAAAAAATTTACCGAACATTAAATGCTCATTGTCAGGAATTCAGACAACATACTGTGTTACAAACATTGTAGCATAAATAGGCATGCACATACTTAATTGAATCAAATCAGAGATAGATCTTCATAATCTAGGAAACCTGAAAGTCATATACCATTCCTCTACCTTTGACCATAAATAACTCTATAAAGCTAGAAGCAAATTTAAAAGCTAATTGCTTTACCTTTTTAAAAGAGTCTGTAAGAGGTGTTATTTGTCAAGTCTCATTGGGCATATAATTTACTGCAAGCTAATCACATTTAAAAGCAGCAGATGATGGCACAAGTACTTGAGCCCCTGCGCCCATGTGGGAGAACTGAAAGAAGCTCCTGGCTCCTGGCTTCAGCCTGGCCCAGCCTGTGGCCATCTGAGGAGTGAACCCATGGATGGAAGATCTCTCTCTCTCTCTCCCTCTCTCTCTCTCTCTCTCTCCTTCTTTCTCTAGTTCTGACTTTCAAATATAATAAATAAATCTTTAAAAAAAATTCACCATTTTACTAAACTAGTTAGGCTAGTATCCTTGACTAATTTCCCTCTTTTGGTATGGACAAGATAAATAAAATAGTAGATTGAGAATAAACTATTCCTGGATCTACCATAAATGAGCTTTGTAATTTACTTTCCTTGAACTTCATTTTGTGAAATTACAATATGAAGAACTATTCATTGTTACTAATGCTACATCGTTTGCAAATATAAATATCTGCTATATTATTCAAATTTTCAATAAAATATAAATTTAATCTTAAGTGAAAGGATAGAACTCTGACATTTGTAGATTTATCAATTTGTGGAAATTAAACTAGTCATTATCCTTACATTATTTTTTTACAATTATTAATGCTTGCACAATGACATTTCCTTGTTTCATCAGAAATGCTAAAATCTTGGGGAACTTATTCAAATAAAACTTGAAGATTAATGCTATTTTAAAATTTAGTTGATAATATTTATGCTTGAGATTGAAAATTAATATTTTAAACAGGATACTCCTTTCTGGTTAAAAATCTCTAAGCCAAATTACAATAAATTTAGAAACAAGGCAACAAAGATGTATCTTCATTGTGCTTTTGTGATATCTATGCCTTTATAAAGTAAGAATGGTTATCCCAAACAACTAAGACCAATACAATTTTATGGATTGCCTGAATCATTAAAAGCAACAGCATATGTAAAATATTTGATACTATGCCTTCATAGAAGAGGGAGTCAATAAGTGGTATCCATTTAGGGTGAACGGAATAGGAACCAGAGATTAAAAAAAAAATTCTAAGAAAAGAAATTCTAAAGCAGGAATGAAATCTGTCTCATCACTGTATTTATGGTACCCAGCATAGAAGTTGATTCTTAGCAGACCACAAGAAAAGCTACTGAATAAGTAGGTATATTATCTGAGTAGAAGAACATAAATATAAGCAGAGAGAAGCATTATCTGTACTAGTGTGGTAAGAGGAACTTGGTTTAGAGTAGTGATTTCCACATCTATCAAAGAGTGATAAGAAGAGGTAAGAACAATGTGAATGAAATACAGTAAATGTAAACTAGAACTGTACCCTGACCGCTGGGAAATTGGTTCCTACTGATACATTAAGGATAAGAGAGTAACACTGATGCTAGATGTATACATTCATGAATAAATCTAGGTAACTATCTGACTTGAGTCTGTATTCTTTTGTATTTTCACTACAATATCTAAATGTGACCCAGTCACCAAAAGCTTTGATAGTATCACTTATTTTTTATTATTGTTGCTTTATACAGTACAAAAATCATACTTGACATCTACCTTCAATCTATGCATAGGAATCTTCTTTTCTCAACTTAATATACTTCCATAACATATAAAAATGTTTAGGCTTTTATCTCAACTTATATAGTTAATACTATAATTTTTTTAGTTTTAACAAAAATGCTGCCACTGCACATTAAAACTATGATATATTATTTGTCTTATTTTTAATATATATTAGCAGGGTACAGCTTCTCAAACTGCCTGTTAGACAAGGTTCTCATTAACAAAAGATTCTAGATAGTTTCTTATTGACTCCCATAGACTATGCAACACCCGCCCCTGTCCCCTCCACCAGTATAACATTCTCTCTAGATACAGGTTCTGAGACACAGAACTTTATTACCAATACCATCACTCCATCTTTATAATAATACAATGTTCTTATTGTAAAAATATTACTATTAATAAAGCCACCTGTCAAATATAATAAACACAAATCACATAAGGAATGGAATGTTCATTATACTTTTAATATATTTCTTTTTTCTGCAATTGTTATTATTCTAAGTACTCTGAGTTTTTTTCTCACAAATTTTCCTTTTCTGAAGGTTTTTTTCCTTCAGAAATCTCTTATGTGTTTTGTAGTATGCTTTTAAAAATAATTACATACCTATAGTCTAATAATTTTAATGTGACGATAGCATGTACATTGACTTTGGATTCACTGGGTAGTGTCATAGCAGTCTCAGTAACAGAGTCACTTTGGCTAGGTCCATCATCTGGCAAAAGAAACATTACATAAAACCCATATTTATACTTCAAAGTCATTTTTAAAATCCTTGATAATACATAAAAGAGTATATATTATTTCTACATATATCAGTGAGAAAACATTTAGTGGCATGTATGTATTCTTAATAACATAAATCTCAATCTGCACATAAAATGTAATTATTAGGAAATAGGTAAGTTCTATAGTATGGCTTCAAAATCTTTTAATTAACCTACTGTAAGGACATTTAGGAGTAAGAAAGAATTTTCACAGAAAAAGTACGATGTATAAGAAAAAACAAAGACAAGTAGTCTTTTAAGCAAAATAACATGGTCCATTAGGAAGAATTTCTTAGCAAAGGGAAAATACCAGTATTATTTCCCTCAAATGTCCCCCAAATAATCATATATCTATCTTTTCAGTTTAGTATACAATGAAGTTGATTGTCTCCAGTCACTTAAAATATGGCAATCTGCATAATTAAGTAAGCTTCTGGTACATTATCATTGTTGTTAAGATATTTTCTTAGTAAAGCAAGATTTTATTTTTGCTAGACATTATCCTAACAGGTATGTATACTCACACAATCACTATCATTAACCACCTTGCTAATCTCCAGAACCTGCTTAATACTGCCATCATATGGTATAAAATATTCACATTTAAAAGAAATGGCTTTATGACCTTTTTTGCAAGAAAGACTTGAATCTATAGAGAAGTAAAATAAAATTTTTAATTTTCAATCAGGGGCAAAAGGTGAAATAATCCTAGAAATCATACTTAGGAATTAGTAGTATCACTGATCTTGCTTTAGTCCAGTAGGCATCCAATTAACATTTGCTGAATATTACCCAGATCATTTGTCTTGAATTGAACTCACTATTCATTAATCAATAATGATGAAAATAATATGCACAATTATTGTATCTCAAAACTAACTTGAAAAAGTGATTCAACTATTTTTTTCCATGTATACATCATGTAATACTTTATTCATAGAAGAAGCACAGGACAAGTTATAGAAATATCAAACCAAAATAAAAGATATTAAAGGAAACATTAATATCAAGTATATCCTTTAGTATAGACATTTCTAAGCAGTTTGGTTATGTTACTTGAAAAAATAACATATTGCCAAAATTACATAACCAGCAAGACAACATTAAACAAGCAAAAAACCCTGAATTTTAAAAAAAATTTATATGTACACTACCATGATCAACAATTTCCAAAGACGTACCTATAATAATCAGCATCAAGGAGCCTGTACAGAAGGAACTGTTCTCTCTGGGGAAGGTATTGGTATGAAAGAAAAATTTACTTCTCATTGTATATCTTTGTGTATTGATTTATTTTTGTTTTAGCATATGCATTTATTGCCTTTTTAACTTAAATACATAAATAATTTTTAAAAATTTCAATTTGAACAGGACCCACTAAGCATCAAATACAATGAATAAAAATGGGACAATACTGATGTACATTATCATGAAATTTCAAAAGAATAAGCAACAAGGAGAATACCCTGTAAATTTCCAGAGAAAAGCTGCTTATTAATTGCACAAGTGACTGACAGAAACACCAAATAAGAAGTCAGTCACATAAAGCAGGAAGAAAAAAACGCTTTTAAAGGATTCTCAAATGTTTTCATTTGGTGAGTTAAGGCAGCATTGTGGGTGACTCAGTTGAATGAGTGTCACCCAATCAGGCACCCAATTTAGAGATTCAATTTATCTCTTTGAGGCAAACAGGCACCAATCACACTGCCTTGCCAGTAGTTTTATTAGAAAATCAGATGAATCCCATTGAGAAGGAGTAAAGACATGCAAACTCAGTCTAGTGGACAAGATAAACAAGAAATAACAAAACAATACGATGAGTGCAATGAAAGAAGTATGATGAATGTATTTTTATGGGAGCAATGTATGTTGAGGATGGGTGAGAAGGTCCGTATAACTGAGGAGTGCCCAGGTAAATTTCAGAAGGGAGTAAGAAAATATAGGGTGCATTAATAAGATAAAAATTTAAAAGAATCTGTTGCTTGTTTTAACTAGTCCTTATCAGTTTCCAGATTTTAAAAAAACTGATTTTATTAAACAGTATGAATCTTAAAATGAAAGGAATGAATGAATAAAAATAAATGAATGTTTATTTTCTGAGGCAACAAGGCTGGGGCTGGGAGAAAAGAACAAACCTTGGAGAAACTACTTAACTGTATTATCCAAACTTGGACTGCCTATTCTCAATCCTGAAGACAGAAATGGTAGCTACAGGAGAAAAGTAGGCACATTTCTTAAAGAACATGTGTCACTAGTTCGATCACGATGTTGGGCTGAGGATGTCCCAAAACGTTATCCCCAGAACAGCAAAATCAGCTTTACTTGAAAATTATAAGGAATGTAAATTTTCAGAATGCACCCCAAACCTACTGAATTGGACATTTTGAGTGCGGCTCAGCAGTCTGTTTTTACCAGGTTGTTCAAGAGAGAATGGACACAAAAATTTTAGAATCACTGTCTTAACCTGTTTCTCTAATCAAGCATACTACTTTTATCACACAGAAGATGACTGAACATAAATTGATTATAAATAACTAGCAGCAATTCTTGGGTCTAAATCTAATTACAACAAATTGATTCATTTACTCCACAAATTATAATGGGGTTCCACTCTGTGATAGTCCCTGTACTGGTGTTAGGGATTTAAAAATGAAAAATAATTCTGCGTGAAAAACTGGCCAGGTCTGCTGTGCATAGTCCATCCTAAACCTGAGAACACAGAAAATAATTGTCCAAAGATTGTTCATTAATACAAGATTGAAAAGACACTATATAATTTATGGCCCTAAATTATGAAATTTATGCAGAAGGTTTGGGCAATCTTCCATAGTTGATTTAACAAATCACCATAAACAAAATTTCTGAAAACATACAAACTTAATATATGGCGGTTTTGTAGTTCAGAAGTCTGCAGTGAGTCTCCCTGGGCTAATAACAATATGGGTGCTAATACTGGCAGGTCTACATTCCTTTTTCTAGGGAACAATCTCTTTCTTTGCCTTCTAGAAGCTACCCACATTCCTTGGTTCATGGCTTTCTTCATCTTCAAGCCAGCAATAATAGGTGAATCACATATCCTATCTCGCTGACCTCCTCTTGTGCTTCTCTATGTAACTTTGTGATTACACTGGGCCCATCCATTTAATTAGTAATAATATCCTTAAAGACAACTGATTAGCAACCTTAATTACCCTCTGCCATGTAAGTAACACATTCACAAACTACATAGATTAAGATATGGACAACACTGAGGAGTCATTATTCTGTCTACCATAGGTAGAACAGCAGGATTGTACCAGTAACACAAGAAACTAAACTTGGAACACAGATACTAAAGTCAGGTGATAGAGCTTGCGCAATGGCAGATTTTGCAATCAAATAAAGTAATTAAGCCTATATCAAGAAACAAGAAAGATCTAAAATCATTAATCTCTCACTATAAGGGAAAAAGAAGAGCAAACTAACTCTAAAGCAAAGAGAATAAGTAATAATTATAATGAAAACTAATGACAGAGCATAGAAAAATAATAGAAAGAATGAAACCAAAAGCTGATGTTTTGGAAATCTCAACAAAATGTACAAACCTTGATGACTAAGGTAAAATGAGAAGACCTACAGTACTAGAAATAGAAATGAGACAGGTGACATTATTACTGATCTTATAATAATGAAAATGATGAACTCTGAACAACTGAATGCCAGTAAAATATATAACTTAGAAGAAATGGACAAATTGCTAGAAAAACAGAAGATATCAGAAGTGATCAGGAAGAAACAAACCATCTGAGTATATCTATACAGATAATCTGAGTATATCTATGACAAGAGGAAATTTTATTAGTAATCAAACAACTAGCCACAGGGGTGGGCGTTGTGGCACAGCAGAATAAGTGGCCACTTGGGATGCCCATATGCCATATCAGAGTGCCGGTACAAGTCCCAGATGCTCTGTTTCTAATCCAGCTCTGTTAATGTTCCTGGGAATCAGCAGATGATAGTTTGAAGTATTTGAGTCCTGGCTACTCAAGATGGATTTCCTGGCTCCTGCCTTTGGCCTGGCCCAGCCTGGGCTGCTGCAGCCATTCGGGGAATAAACCAGCAGACAGAACTCTTTCTCTCTCACTCCCTCTTTCTCTGTCATTTTGCCTTTCAAAACTAGTCACAAAGGAAAATCACAGGTATTGATGACTTCACTGCTGAATTCTAGAAAATAAAGAATTAATACCAATTCTTTAAAAACTCATCCAAAAAACAGAAGAGGTAGAAAGATTTCCCAATTCATTTTACAAGGGCAGTATTACCCTGATACCTAAACAGCACAAAAATATCACAAGAAGACAACAGATCAACAACTCTTTTGTATATGGACATAAATATCCTCAACAGAATAGTAGCAAACCAGGGCCAATATTGTGGTACAGAGATTTAAGCTGCTGCTTGAGATGCCAGCATCCTGCATCAGAGTGCCAGTTTGAGTCCCAGCTGCTCTACTTCCAGTTTAGCATTTTGTTATTGCATCCTGGGAAAGCAGCAAAAGATAGCTCAAGTAGTTGAGTCCATGCCACCTATGTAAGAGACCTAGATGGAGTTTCTGGCTCCTGGCTTCATCATGGCCCAGGCCTGGCTGTTGGAGGCCATTTGTGGAGTGAAGCAGTGATGGAAGATTCTTTCTCTCTCTGCTTTTACAAATAACTTTGTTACAGATGTTTCTCCAAATGTGTACAAATGGCTAATAAGTGCATGAAGATGCTAGATATCATCACTCATTTGGCAAATGCAAATCAAAGCTTAAGTGAGGGGTGAAGTGGTCAAGATGATACTTGGGATGCCCATGTCCAATACCAGAATGCCTAGGTTTGAGTCCTGGCTCCACTCTCAATGCCAACTTTCTGCCAATGTGCACCCTCACAGGTAACAGGTGATGACTCAGGTAGTTGAATCCCTGCCACTAAAATGGGAGACCAAGCTTGAATTTCCAGCTCCTGACTTCAGCCTAGAGCAGCCCCAGCTGTTGTGGACATTTAGGAGTGAACCAGTAGATGGAAGATCTTTTTCTCTCTTTCAAAATAAAAACTTTAAAAAGCTACCATGAGACATCACTTCACACTACCAGGATGACTAGAATCAGTTATATAATTAGTGTTTGCTGAGGACATGGAAGAAGCAGAACAATATAAATTGGTGCAGCATTTTGAAAAATAGTCTGCCAACTCAATATATATGTTTAAATATATAATTATCATGTGATCCAGAAATTTCACTCCTAGGTATATACTGAAGAAAAATGAAAACTATGCTCATGTTGAAACTGTACATGAATGTTTATCACACTATTATCCATAACAGCCCAGAGATTTTTCCTTGTCTATCAACTCAATCACCACTTGTCCATTTATGCTATGGTCTAAATGTATGTGCCCCTCCCAAAATTCACTGGTCCCCAAGGTGAAGATGTTAAGAAGTGGAACTTCTGCGAGGTGGGATAAGTGCCCTTATAAAAGAGGCCTGTCAGCCTCTTGCTGCCCTTCAACAAAAGGGAGCTCAAAAGAAGGCACTATATTTGAGGAATAGTTCCTCAACAAACACCAAATGTGCTGGCACACTGATGTTGCACTTATCAGCCTCCAGGACTGTGAGCAATGAATTTTGTTGTTTATAAATTATCTAGTCTAAGGTGTTTTCTTAGATCAACCAACAGACTAGTCAACTTTCAATTTTTTCCAATCACTTTTGCCTCCATTTTCCTTCTCCGGATATACAAATATATCTTAAAGACACTTCCATTACCAATTTTTTTTTTCAGGTTTCTGGAGAGAATCAAATTGTACGCATGGATTCCCCTCTCATCTTTAGATAGAAGTGTTAAAAAGAAATGTTTGTACAGAAATGAAACGTGTATGGGGTTAACCTTGAGTTTTTTGTCCATAAAAACTTGATTATTCTGACATGACTATTAACTGATTCATGTCAGAACAAATGAAATTTTTTTTCTGGAGAAGAGAGCATTTCTGGAAAAGAAAGAAAACTTTACCTTATAGAAAATAAGAATCTTAGAAAACAATAATCTATTTGACAGATAAAGTAGAAAACAATGTGGAATATGCAATTATCTTATTGATTTAAGAAATGCTGCCTGGCAATGCAGTGCTAGGCTAGACTATGCTAACTCATGCAGTTGCAAGCTAAATTAACAGCTGCTGTAATTAGTCATTAAAGTGTGGAGTAGCTTCTTACACAGCAATACGCTGGTACAACTAATTTTTTTCTTAGTGTACTAGTTTATTCTATAATGACAGAAATGAAATAAAAACTGAGCTGTAAAGTAAATTTATTGTATTATTTTTACTTTTGTCTTATGTTTTGTCAGAATTTAGCAATACTATACATGGAAATAGGTACTGAAATATCTGTAAATATACGTAGCAGTCAGCAGAATCCATTTATTATTTCCTGACAATCAAGTGGCACTTTTTTTCAAAATTCCAGTACTAGCTGCTTACTAAATCTTTGTTACAATATTTGCCAATTGATATACATTAATACAGAACATTATATAGAACAAAGATATTAAAGACAGATTATTATTGTGAGTTTAAGCATGTTTTCATAACCTCAGCATATTTATAGCCTATAGGCATCAATTAGAACTAATCCTGGGGGCTGGCGCTGTAGTGTAGTGGGTTAAAGCCGCTGCCTGCAGTGCCGGTATCCCATATGGGTGCCGGTTCGAGTCCTGGCAGCTCCAGGACTCTAATCCAGCTCTCTGCTATGGCCTGGGAAAGCAATAAAAGACAGTCGAAGTCCTTGGGTCCCTGCTCCCATGTGGGATGACCTGGAGGAATCTCCTGGCTCCTGGCTTTGGCTTGGCACAGCTCCGGCCATTGCAGCCAATTGGAGAGTAAACCACCGAATGGAAGACCTCTCTCTCTCTCTGCTTCTCTTTCTCACTCTGTGTAACTATGACTTTCAAATAAATAAATAAATCTTTAAAAAAAAAAAAGAACTAATTCTGCCAGGTATTATGTCTTGTAAGTACTTATATCCAAAGTACACTTAAACTTACGTACAGTTAATACGTCACTCCCTTTCATTATAACCCTTCGAAATATAGGAAAAAATGGAGTACCTTTGATCTTGCTCCGCAGATATTTTAGGACTTCTTGGGTTCCTTTCTGAAATGACAGAGACAAAGACATATTCACCGAGGCACTCCTTACAGTTTTACAAATCAACATGTATATTTGAACAAACAGTTGAATTCTAAATATACTTGCATTTATAATTTCTCTTCGAATCGTTCTCAAAGGATTTCCTTCTAGGGCCAGGAATTTCAGATGAAGGTTTCCCAATGAATAGGGAAGACTACAAAAGATTAATTTCAGGGAAAACATTAAACATAACTATAATCCAATAAATATAAAACAAAGAATGACAAACAATCATCAAATAATATTATCAAGAAGGTCCAAGTAGAGGAAGGGAGGGAGGAAGGGAATATCATTATGTTCTTATTAGAATTGTATCTACAAATCACATTGAATCTATTAAAAACTAATTAAAAATTTAAAAAAGAAGGTTCAGGTAATGTAGGCCTACAATATTTCTTCTCATAATGAATACTGAACGTGTAAAAGAAAAACCAGATCTATTCCTAAAATAGTCATATTGATAAAAAAGAATGTGAGCTATAAAGCATTTGCTAAATTGTATCCAGTGCTAAAAAGAAAATGTCAAAAATATAAACTTTAATGGCACATGATAGCTATCCTGATACTAAGTGTTTTGATTTTGCACTTCACCCAGCAAGCAAAAGTCCTTGCAGGTACCAGCATCATGGCGCAGAAAGTAAAGCCACCACGTGTGATGCAAGCATCCCATATGGGTACAAGTTCATGTTATGGATGCTCCACTTTCATTCCAGCTCGCTGCTAATGGCCTGGGAAAAGCAGCAGAAGATGGCCCAAGTGTGTGGGTCCCTGCCACCTACTTGGGAGATTCAGATGAACTGTCTGGCTCCTGACTTCTACCTGGCCTACCACTGGCCATTGTGACCATCTACGGAGTGAATCAGCAGATGGAAGATCTTTTTCTCAGTCTCTCTCTCTCTAACTCTTTCAAATAAATAAGTACATATGTTAAAAAAAAAAAAAAAAACCACAGCCAGGATAGGCAAATCCATAGAGATAGAAAGTATATTAGTTGTTGCCAGATGCTGGGAAGGACAGGGAGGAGTGAATGCTAATGGATATATGTTTCTTCTGGAGGTGAGGAAATGTTCTGAAAATAGATATCGGTGATACTGAACAATGTAGTGAATATATGAAAAAGATGAATTTTACACATTAAAAGGGTAAATTGTATGTGAATTATTTATTTATCATTATTTTTATTTTTATATTATTTTATATTTATTTTTATTATTTTTTATTATTTATTTATTTATTATTGCCTATCCTGGCTGTGTCACCCAAATAAAGTCATCTAATATGACAATATGTGGCCTTTTGTGTCTGGCTTCTCTTAAGTATATAATGTCTTCAAGACTCATCTATGTGGTAGCATGAATCAGTACATTCTTTTCATGGTCAAATAATATATCTCATTGTATGTGTATACCACATTTCATTTGTCCATCAGTTGATGGGCATTTGGGTTATTTCTGCTTTTGGCTATGATAAGTAATAAGTAATGCTGCTATGAACATTTATGTAAAAAGTTTTTCTGGGGGCATATGTTTTCACATCCCTCTAAAAGCAATTAGTCTAACCAACCATGTCATTTGTGTTGATTTATGTAGAGCCTCTTAAAATCCTATTTGGAGAATGTAATTTTTGATCTTAGTTCAATTGATCAATTAAGAGACTCCTGAATAATGGCTAACACCCCAATATATTCATAAGAATTTTTCTATGAGCCTGTCATTTAAATAATCAATTTCATGAAGATTGCTTCAGTCTTGTAGAAGTTGAGTTATCATCACATAGAGCATTTCTTAAGTCCTCTGCATTATTTTAGGGACAGCTATACATCATTCTAGAGAGGTCTACTCATATCTCATATCTAATCTCTTAGGATTCAATGAAGGAGCATTTTTAATATACAGTTTCTTTTATATATTGACTATATTCTAAAGTTTGAATTTTCTTTCTTGAACAAAGATTGTCAAATTGCCAAACCGCCTGACTGTCCATTGTAGCTTAAGTTTTATTAAGAAATAATTCACACTGAGCAAAAGTAAAAAGAATGTATTTTGTGTGCAAAGGATGAATGTATTAAAAAGAACTTTTTATTTGTAACAATTTTTTTAAAAAGCTGAATGGAATTTCTTTCCCATGTACTTGTATATAAATAAACATTTTCTGTTACCCACAAAAAAAAAAAAAAACACACACACACACAAAGTCCTTGTAAACATATCAAGATTCTTGCTAGTAAGTTCTCAGTGGAAGAAAGAAAAAAAAAAAAAACACCACATACAAGTATATACAACTAAGCAAAATATAATGAAGACTTATCTTACTTTGCTAGTAAGAAGCCATCATACATAGTACAGCAACTTTGGAAAACAGTCTTTTAAAGTTAAATATACACTTTATTGTTAGCTAAGCAATACCATTCCTTCATATTTACCCAAGGGAAAAAAAAAAAACAATGTATACACAGAGATGCACACAAATGTTCACAGGAGCCAAAAACCAAAAACAACCCAAACATCCATCACTTAATTAGTTCAGAGACTAATAAATTGTGGTATTTGTATCTATACAATAGATGAACACTCAGCAATAAAAATGAATGAACTATGACACACAGAATCACATAAATGAATTGCAAAAGCACTATGCTATATGAAAGAAGTTAGAAAGAAAAACTATATACTGTGTATTCCATTATATGATATTCTAAAAATGGCAAAACTACAGTAAGAGCACTTCAGAAATTGCCATGTGTGGAGGATATGGAAAGGGAATTTGCTGCAAAAGGTATGAGGAAATGTTTTAGAGGACAGGAATGTTTCACATGATGGTGACAGTGGTTACACAAATACATACATATTTGCCAAGAGCCATCAAATGTTCTGTTTGAATTGGTGAATTTTATTGTGCATAAGTTAGATGTCAAGAAGTAAACATGGCAGGGCTGGCGCTGTGGCGAAGTGGGCTAAGCCGCCGTCTGCAGTGTTGGCATCCCATATGGAAGCAGTCTAGTCCTAGCTGCTCCTCTTCCAATCAAGCTCTCTACTATGACCTGGGAAGGCAGTAGAAGACGGCCCAAGTGTTTGAGCCCCTGCACCCATGTGGGAGACTTGGAAGAAGCTCCTGACTTCTGGCTTTGGCCTGGCCCAGCATCAGCCATTGTGACCATTTAGGGAGTGAATCACTGGATGAAAGATATCTCTATCTCCTCCTCTTCCTCCTCCTCCTCCTCCTTTCTCCTTAACTCTGCCTTTCAAATTAAAAAAAAAAAAAGATATTTTTAAAAATTATCTTCCTGCTTCTCAAATTAAAAGATATGAAATTTACCAAAAATAAATTTAAAAGGCAGAGGTAAGGTGGGGGATGGAAAAGCAAGGCCTTTGGTCTAGTGATTAAGACACCCACATCCCACATGGGAGTGCCTGGTTTTTGGTTTCAGACTCTTAGTTCCTGATTCCAGCTTCCTGCTCATGCAGATCTTTAAAGGCAGCAGTGATACATCAAGTATTTGGGTTCCTGCCACTGACATGGGAGATTTGGATTGCATTCTTGCCTCCTAGCTCTGGTCTTGGCCAAGCCCCAGTCATTGTGGACGTCTGGGGAGTGAACCAGCCCCAGCCAATGAGAGCTATTTCTCTGAGTCTCAAACAGTAAAAAACATTACAGATATAATAAGAGAAATGCTAAACAAGTAAAGTTGCTGTGATAGTAGAGAAAGAGAAACTAGCTGGGGTAGGGAGAGAGGGAATAACAAAACCTGGATTAGGTTTAGCAATAATGAGATTCTATTAGGCAGTGAAGCAGGAAAATGACATTCTAGGGTAAAGGAAAAAATAAAGCTTTGGTATACTTATAGTTCAATGTAGTCAGAGCAGGATACCTGTAAGAGTGGAAGATGATAGAAAATGAATGAAGTCTGATGTGAGACACCCCTGAGTGTTTTGCTAAAATGTCTAGGCTTTATCTTATAAAACAGGGGTTCCAAATTGTTAATTGGAAGACTAGATGCATAAGTCTTCTAGGAATTGGAGGGTGAACCAACGGCAAAGGAAGACCTTTCTCTCTGTCTCTCTCTCTCACTGTCCACTCTGCCTGTCAAAAAAACAAAACAAAAACAAAAACAAACAAACAAAAAAAAACAAAAAACCAGACTATCTGTCCTCTTCTTCCTATTCCCATTGCCACCCCAGTTCAAATTCTCATTACATAAAAGAGAACTCTGCACAGCTCTTAGTACAATAAATTGAAAATAGCAAGTACTCCTTAGTTATAAAGACAGCTTATCTAATAAAGCTTTAGACTGTCTACCTTTAAGCCACTTCTATTATGAACAATTTATTGTTTTTAATAGTATTATGATTAAGTTGGTTCTGTTTAAAATCTTATAATAGCTTCCTATCTCTCACCCACAGAAAATGACTCATTATCATAGATTCAACTTACTTTGCAAGCCCTAAATCCTCACAAAGTCTCTGTACACTTAGAATTTCCCTATCTTTATTGATGCTGTTTCCACCTGCCAAGTAGATCATTTTTACCACCTTCCATATAAAGTTAAAAATCCTAATCTTTCTTTTAAAATTACATGGTGGGTCTAGGGTAAGGTAAGAACCTGAAAGTAAGTGTCGTCTTAAATTTTTTGCTCTAAGCAATTCACCCTAATCCCAATGTTGGCAATCATCTAAAAAAGTGACTTTTAAGAAGCCTACCCTATTTCGCTCAATAAGTTGTGATTCCTGTAAATGTTTTAAGCCCCTAAAGCATGTTATATCTCTCTTACAGATTTACATTCATTTAACAAATTCAACAAATAGTTATCAGGGACCTGCTATATGACAAGGCACCAATCTAGGAATTGAAAATAAAGCAGTGAACAAAACAGATAAAAATTCAGCACTCCTAGAGTTCAATTCTAGTAGATTAATTAGAAATTCATTTGCTTCTATTAGCATTAGCTTCTATTAAGTTGTGCCATGGACAAATTTTAACTCATTTTTCTTTGTGTATAATAGCTGCTCATAAATACTGAGTGAATTCAATTTTTAAATATTGACTTCTTATGACTTACAAATATTCTAACTTATGAATTATAACCAAACACAGACACACTTCCTATTCATTAGTTTTTGAACTTACCTACTAATATCATTGTTGCTTAGGTCAAGCCTTTCCAAAGACTGTAGCAGTGAAATTTCATCTGGAACAGATTTCAACTTGTTATCCCTCAGTTCTAGCACAAGGATAGAACTCAGGTGTTTAAGATGGTCTGCTGCTAACATTTCAATCTGGTTTTCACCTACATGCAGTTCCTAAAAAACCAAAGTCATATATGTGTGTTTCTATATTCATATACTAGATAATGAAGCTAAAATTGTGGGTCTGGTAATTTCAAATAATTGAAAAACACATAGAAAAAAACCATAAATTTCAATTACATTATAGCTGGCTTACATCTAAAGAAAAATGTGAAAAATAAAAATGCTCAAGAATCTTCAGGAAATTTAAATATTAAGTTTACAAAGCCAAGGCAGAGGGGTCAGCATTGTGGCACAGTGAATTAACTGCTGCCTGTGATACCAGTATCCAACAATTCATGTTCTGGCTGCTCTCCTTCCAATTTAGCTCCCTGCTAATGCACATGGGAAGGTAATGGAAGATGGCCCAAGTACTTGGGCTCCTGACACCCATGTGGGAGACCCAGAGAGAATTCCTGGTTACTAGCATTAGCCTTGCCCAGCCCTGGCTGTTGTAGCCATTTGAAGAATGAACCAGAAGATGGAAGATCTCTTTCTCTTTCTCTCTCTCTCACTCTGCATTTTGAATAACATAAAAATAAATCTTAAAAAAAACCAGAAAAATTGCTTTAGTAGTTGCATTTATAAAATTAATAAAAATACAGATCCAAAAATTGTACTGATGAAAAATTAGTTTCAAATCAATATCAGTTTAAAAACATTACTTGTATCATAATCAGTTCATTTAATATTTTTATTAGTGATTGTTATAAATATTGATTTCTCATTAAGAGAACCAATAATTATCAGAAAATTAATTTTACTAAATGAAAACTCTTTCGTTATCAGTCACCATTCTGTTTAAAAGAAAATCTTTTTTTTTGACAGGCAGAGTTAGTGAGAGAGAGAGAGACAGAGAGAAAGGTCTTCCTTTTCCATTGGTTCACCCCACAAATGGCCGCTATGGCTGGTACACTGCGGCCGGCGACTACACCGATCCGAAGCCAGGAGACAGGTGCTTCCTCCTGGTCTCCCATGCGGGTGCAGGGCCTAAGCACTTGGGCCATCCTCTACTGCACTCCCAGGCCACAGCAGAGAGCTGGCCTGGAAGAGGAGCAACTGGGACAGAATCCGGCGCCCCAACCGAGACTAGAACCCGGGATGCCAGCACCGCAGGGGGAGGATTAGCCAAGTGAGCCATGGCGCCGGCCTAAAAGAAAATCTTTTAACACCAGCACATAAAAGTATATATGACAAACAGTAATACATGTCAAATTTAAAACACATTATTAATGTTACATAGTTAAAATTCAAAGAAAATAATTAATTTTAAATAGACCTAATTATGATCAGGAAATGTGAGAGGTGGCAGTTTACAGAATTAGTTACATATTCTTTACTGGTATTCTAGATCTCCTACAGTATGGTCCCAATTTACCATTTTGGTCTCACCACCTACTAGTTCTCCAGTTATAAACTACTTAACAGATTTGTCTATTAGACAATTTTTTTTAAATTTTTTATTTATTTTTTTGACAGGCAGAGTGGACAGTGAGAGAGAGAGACAGAGAGAAAGGTCTTCCTTTACCGTTGGTTCACCCTCCAGTGGCCGCCGCAGCCGGCGCACTGCGGCTGGCGCACCGCACTGTTCCGAAGGCAGGAGCCAGGTGCTTCTCCTGGTCTCCCATGAGGTGCAGGGCTCAAGCACTTGGGCCATCCTCCACTGCACTCCCGGGCCACAGCAGAGAGCTGGCCTGGAAGAGGGGCAACCGGGACAGAATCCGGCGCCCCAACTGGGACTAGAACCCGGTGTGCTGGCGCCACATGGCGGAGGATTAGCCTATTGAGCCGTGGCGCCGGCCTAGACAAATATTTTTTCAAATTAATCATTTCTTTTTAAAAAAAATCTATTATATGGGGCCAGCACTGTGGCACAGTGGGTTAACACCCTGGCCTGAAGTGCTGGCATCCCATATGGATGTTGGTTCGAGACCTGGCTGTTCCACTTCTGATCCAGCTCTCTGCTATGGCCTGGGAAATCAGTAGAAGTCTTTGGGCCCCTGCACCCATGTGGGAGACCCAGAAGAAGCTCCTGGCTCCTGGCTTCAGATCGGTGCAGCTCCAGCCACTGCAGCAAAATGGGGAGTGAACCAGCAGATGTAAGACCTCTCTCTGCCTCTCCTTTTTCTGTGTAACTCTACCTTTCAAATAAATGAATAAACCTTAAAAAAAAAAAGTAAAAAAATCTATTACTAACAGTACCACTACTAACTACCACGTGTTAGGAGCTAAATTAAAATTGTTGAAAATATTAACATAGGAAAAACACAGTACATAGAACAATTAGGAATATGTTGCCCATATAAAACAAGGCTAATACCTTTTTAAAACGTTCATTTTTAAATTAAGTTTTGAAAAATATACAATTACTTAATACTCAACTAAATAATACCTTTAATAGTTTACAAGAAGGAAATTCTGGTAGAAAACGTAGTTTATTCCTCCGCAAATAAAGCAATTCTAGTGATTCCATGCCAGCCAATTCAGGAGGTATACTTTCCAAGAGATTAGAACTACAATCCAGATGTCTTAATTCTGTAATATACATTCAATGAAAACAAAAATACAAAAAATATTACTGTATTACTGTATGCAAGTATAAAGAAGGTGTAAGAAGTCAACATGATTATCTGTGCCATTGTAAACCAATACAATAAAGAATACTTGAATATCGTTGAACCAAATAAAGTTAGTATTTTACATTTAATTATAAAGACAAATAATGATATCAAAGTTAATACTTAAAAACAGTCTAGATTATTTTTATTTTTTTAAAGAGTTATTTACTGGCTGGAGCCACGGCTCACTAGGCTAATCCTCCACCTTGCAGCGCCAGCACACCGGGTTCTAGTCCCAGTCGGGGTGCCGGATTCTGTCCCGGTTGCCCCTCTTCCAGGCCAGCTCTCTGCTGTGGCCGGGGAGTGCAGTGGAGGATGGCCCAAGTGCTTGGGCCCTGCACCCCATGGGAGACCAGGCTAAGTAAGTACCTGGCTCCTGCCATCGGATCAGCGCGGTGCGCCGGCCGTGGCAGCCATTGGAGGGTGAACCAACGGCAAAGGAAGACTTTTCTCTCTGTCTCTCTCTCTCACTGTCCACTCTGCCTGTCAATAAACAAAAACAAAACAAACAAAAAAAGAGTTATTTACTTATTTGAAAGGTAAGAGTTACAGAGAGAGAAGGGGAAAGACAGAGAAAGAGATCTTCCATCCACTGGTTCATCCCCAAATGGACACAACAGCTTGAAACCAAGAGCCTGGAACTCCATACGGTTTGCCCATGTGGATATGGGTAGCAGAGGCCCAACCACTCGGACATCTTCAAGCTGCTTTTCCAGGTGCATTAGCAGGGAGGTGGATCGAAAGTGGAACAGCTGAGACTTGAACCAGTGATCACATGGGATGCAGGCATAGCAAAATGGTAGCTTAACCTGCTTCTCCAGATCTGCTTTCCCAGATTATCTTTGTAATAGATTAAAAAAAAAAAAAAGTTTTCAGCCAGCGCCGTGGCTCAATAGGCTATCCTCCACCTGGGGAGCAAACTAAAGGATGGAAGATCTTTTTCTCTTTGTCTCTCTCTCTCTCTCTCTCTCTCTCTCTCTGTAACTCTACCACTCAAATAAATAAATAAATATTTTTTTTAAAGAAAAAAAGAGATACCTAATGTAATTTAACACATACAAAACCCTTGCATTCTAGTTGTATAAATGATGCCAAGTAACTGGCTACTGGTAGCTTTGACACATCTATTTTAGGTGAGTTAATTTTTTGAGAAAAAGTTTTGGAGTTCTATATATTCCTTCCCATTCTTCCATTCATCCATATAGCCTCCTCTTCATTCTCCCTGTATTCTTTCCTCCCTTTCTACTTTTTGACTTAAACGCTTTTCCTAACACCTAAGCTAACATTCCTAATAAGAAAGTATACTATAGCTCAAGAAGAATGTCTTTAAAAAAAAAAAGATTTATTTATTTTGAGAGTCAAAGTCAAAGAAAAAGAGGGAGAGACAGAGAGATCTTCCATCTTATGGCTCAGTCGCCAAATGAAGCCAGGAGCTTCATCCAAGTCTCCCATGTGGGTGGTAGAGGCCCAAACAGTTGGGCCACCCTCCACAGCTTTTCCCATGCCATTAGCAGGGAGCCGGATCTGAAGTTGAGAAGCTGAGACATGAACATGAATGCCCATATGAGATGCAGGCAGCTTTACGTGCTAAGCCACAACACCAGCCTCCCAAAGCATGGCTTATTATAGAATCTCTCTTATTCCTTTCCTTCTTTCTTAAAAGGCAGAACAGAAAACAAAAATGGAAAAAAATAAAGGTTTTCCCTCCCTAAAACTAATAAGCAATTTTTATCCTAATCTGTATCATAGATTCTTCCATTTATAAACTCACTCCCAATGCTCTAACTCGATGTTCACAAATGTATTTTGGGTTACACAGGACCATATAAATCTAAAATATTGTTTTGGGATATGATCATTAATAGTCAGATATCTATATATATTCTTCTAATGATAGATTAAAAGCATCATTATCATTCCTAAGAAATAGAAGACATCTGATCATTTATTATACAGGGTGTTAGAAAAATGGCTATAAACAGTATTTTTCTATCAATTTCTCTGCTTGTTCCAACGTCTCAAGGTATTTCTACCCACATTAATGAAAAAGAACCCATGTTTCTTATATCCTCATTCCAGATATATTTTATGTTTAGTTCTTCATTATAACAGCTTTATGGAAAAATGACATTGACAAGCAGAATCTTACACTTAAATGAATTGTAGGGGGCCAGCGCTGTGGTATAGTGGGCTAAGCCTCTGCCTATGGTGCTAGCATCCCATATGGGCACAGGTTCTAATCCCAGCTGCTCCACTTCCAATCCAGCTCTCTGCTACGGCCTGGGAAAGCAGTAGAAGATGACCCAAGTCCTTGGGCCCCTGCACCCACATGGGGCCCCTGAAGAAGCTCCTGGCTCCTTGCTTCGGATTGGCACAGCTGCAACTGTTGCGGCCAGTTGGGGAGTGAACCAGTGATGGAAGACCTCTCTCTCTCTCTCTTTCTGCCTCTGCCTCTCCTCTCTCAGTGTAACTGACTTTCAATAAATAAATAAATCTTTACAAAAAAAAAAAAAAAAAACCAGTTCTAATCCTGGCTGCTCCTCTTCTGATCCAGCTCTCTACTATGGCCTGGGAAAGCAGTGGAAGATGGCCCAAGTCTGGGCCCCTGCACCCACATGGGAGATCTGGAAGAAGCTCCTGGTTCCTTGGCTTCGGATTGGCCCAGCTCTGGCCATTGTGGACATTTGGGGAGTGAACCAGTGGATGGAAGACCTTTCTCTCTGTCTCTCCCTTTCTCTGTCTGTAACTCTGCCTCTCAAATAAATAAATCTTCAAAAACTGTATAAAAAATGAATTTAAAAAGATATTTTTGAGATATCTGAATAGTATTTTCATAACATAAAAGCCCTGGCCTGAAGTGCCCGCATCCCAAAGGGGGAACAGTTCTAGTCCCTGCTCCTCTTCCATAGCTCTCTGCTATGGCCTGGGATAGCAGTAGAAGATGGCCCAAGTCCTTGGGCCCCCGCACCCACATGGGAGACTTGGAAGAAGCTCCTGGCTCCTGGCTTCGGATCAGCTGAGCTCTGGCTGTTGCAGCCATCTGGAGAGTGAACCAGCAGATGAAAGACCTCTTTCTCTGTCTCTACCTTTCTCTGTAATTCTTTCAAATAAATAAAAAATAAATCTTAAAAAAAAAAAAAAAAAAAAAAGAACTTTTTCTTTGAAAGACACACACACACACACTATAGGTTCACTCCCCAAATGCCCACAACAGCCAAAGCTAGGTAGGCTGAACCCAGGAGTCAGGAACTCAATCTGTGTCTCATATGAGTGCATGAGTGGCAGGTACCCAGTTACTTCAGCCATTACCTGCTGCTTCCCAGGATTTCCATTAGCAAGAAACTGGGATGGAGAGCAGAGCCTGTACTCAAATGCAGGCATTCTAAAATGCAGGATGTGGCTATCTCAAGCAGCAGCCTAACCACTGCACCAAATGCTTGCAGCCCTGTGACCGTTTTCAAGACCCCTTATACTTGTATCCTGTATAAAGGTTCCCCTAAAGTACCAAACTGATTTATTACAGATTTAATTTGTATATTCATTTTATAAATGACATTCATTAAAGTAAAACAGTTTTACAAATTCACCTCAAAATTATCTGGAACAACAGTAGAAAATCACTTCTATGGCTTCTGTTACAAAGGTTTAAAACAATGAAGAAAGCTTACATACAATTATGAAAAAAGGACCAGATAAGTCTACAGCTGAAACACAGTGCAGCCATCAACCAAGAAATAGTAATAGCTCACCTTTAAATAAAAAAAAAAAAAAGGCAAACCAAAACAAACGACAACAACAAAAAAAACTATAAGTTTTTTTTTAAATTTATTTGACAGGTAGAGTTATAGACAGTGTGAGAGAGAGACAGAAAGGTCTTCCTTCCGTTGGTTTACCCCTAAATGGCCACTACGGCCGGAGCTGCACTGATCTGAAGCCAGGAGCCAGGTGCTTCTTCCTGGTCTCCCATGCGGGTGCAGCAGCCCAAGTACTTGGGTCATCCTCCATTGCCTTCCCAGGCCACAGCAGAGAGCTGGACTGGAAGAGGAGCAACCGGGACTAGAACCCAGCGCCCATATGGGATGCCGGCACCGCAAGCGGAGGATTAACCAAGTGAGCCATGGTGCCGGCCACAAAACTGTAAGATTTTAATCTCTGAATTCTAAGATGAGAGATGACAAAATATGCTTATTTAAAAGGTACTGCCAGCATTGTGGCATAGTGGGTAAAGCTGCCTCCTGTGACACCTGCATCCCATATAGCGCTGGTTTGAGTCCCAGCTGTTCTGATTCCACTCCAGCTCCTGCTAATGGCCTAGGAAAAGCAGAAGATGGCCCAGGTGTTTCGGCCCCTCCACCCACTTGGGAGACCTGGATGAAGCTTCTGGCTCCTAACTTTGGCCTGGCCCAGTGCTGGTCATTTCAGTCAACTGGGGAGTGAACCAGCAGATGGATGCTCGCTCTTACTCTCTCTCTCTCTCTGTAACTCTTTCAAAATAAATAAATGAATATTTTTAAAATCTGTTGATATAGCACAATTACTCAAGTAAATGTTGAATCAATGCATAGTAAAAGGGGATAATATTTATATTAAAATTAAGTAAGTAAATAAAAGGTATGAAAATGTGCCTTCTTAAGGGAGCAGATGTTATGGTGCAGTGCATTAAGCCTCTTCTTGGGATCCCTAGATCCCACATCAAAGTGTTGGCTGAGTTCTGCCTACTCCACTTCTGATCCAGCTCCCTGCCCATGTGCCTGAGAAGCAGTGGGTGATAGCCCACGTACTGGAGTTCCTGCCACCCATGTGGAAAACTAGATGGAGCTCTTGGCTCCTGACATTAGCCTGGCCCAGTCCAGCTGTTGCAGTCATCTTCGGGGTGAACTAGCAGATGGAAGCTCGCTTGCTCACGTGCTGTCTCCCTCTTTCTCTCTGCCTTTCAAAAAGTTAATAAATTTTTTTAAAAATATACCTTAATTTTTATCCCTTAATAGTTGCTCTACAATACTTTAAATATGATTATTTAATGGTAAATTTTAAAAGAACAAATAAATTTTTGACACTTTGTTTTTTGGAAAAGGATTAACAATCTTAGCTCTCAGATAAAACAAGATTATTTCTCAACATTATTACTTTGGGACCATGAGGAGGGTATAGCTATAATATAACCACATATTACAGGTAGATTCACCCCTGAGAAGGAAATAAACTCTTGGTAAATATTTAAGGGATGAATAAAAATATAGCATAGCTCAAAACCTTAATTTCTCAAGTATATCATTTTACTACAATTCATAATTGTATTTTCTTTTCCTCTTTTTTGTATTCCTAAACATTTCTTCAGTGGTAATTCTTTAGGGAATTGTTAGACAACAATGACTACTTGCTACTGTCTGCACTTACTATCACGAAAATTATTTATTCCTTTATTTTTATGTAACCATATTCAAAACTATTATTCTAAATGCAATTTGCACCACATTCAACTTTATGTTGTTAACAAAATAGAGATTTACTTTTCATTCTACTGATTTCTGCTGGCAAACTCTTCAAATGATTGCTGGAAAGATTGATTCGCACCAGACCGGACAGAGAAGAAAATCCAGCGGAAATCGTTGTAAGACGATTGTTTGAAAGATCCTTCAAAAAGAGAAAGACAGAATAAATAAGTATATGAGTGAATAGAAAAAGAAATAAATAATTACTAAAGGGGATTTCAGAATTTTGAATAAATTTTACATAAAAGAGATTACTTCACAGGTGAGAAGCTTTGCAACCTTCATACACCAAAATTTTCACAGAGCATCAGTCATGTCAATATTATTTTTCATTATCTTAAGCCCTACTATTGTCCACCAATGTAATACATAGGCATTGGAATGAATTCTAACTTCAAATGGTTTTAATTAAAAGTTTCTTTTAAAACTAAGTCATGAAATATTATATATGATGTTTTTAATGCATAAAATAATTTGTTCATCTAATACTTATTGAGCACCTACTATAAAATTAAGCACATTACAGGAGCAACCATAATGTGAGTTGAAAAACATCTGTAAGAAAAATTTCTGGGGCTGGAGCTGTGGCGTAGCAGATTAAGCCACCACTGGTGGCACCCACAGTCTGCATCAGAATGCTGGTTTGAGTTCCAGGTACTCCCTACACTGAGGAACATAGAACATAGGCCACAGAACATAGGCCAAATACTTCAGCCCCTGACACCCAGGATCTGTATGCAATTCCATGCTCTTGGCTTTCACCTAGCTCAGCCCTGGCTGTTACAGGCATGTGATGATTGGACCAGTGGATGGAAAAATCCTTATCTCTTCCTCTCTCTGTATGTCACCTACCTTTCAAATAAATAAATAAATCCTAAAAAAAATCTTGGAATAAAAATAGAGCTAAAAAATGGCCATTTCAATTTTTGAAGAAAAAAATACTCTGATTCTGCTAATCTCAGCAAGATTGTTTTAACTAAGACCAGAAGTGTGCTGTTTTTACTCATTCAAGCTTACTTAATGAATCTTTATACATCATTTCTTTTGATCTTCAGTTCTTTCCTTTTTTCCCTTAAACAGTGATAAGAGAACTTTTTTTAAAAAATGCTCTACTATCAGAAAGTGCTAGATAGAGGCAGTGGCAATAATGAAAAAGAAAAGTGGCTTTAAGGAATTGTTCTCTGAAAACTTTCAATTAGTCTAACATTAAACACATTAAACTCTGAAGTAACTGAAAAGATAAAAAATGTAAAAATGTTGTATTAGCTGATTTTTAAAAGTCATACTGTGCCTTTATGAACACAATTCAAATGAATCATCCTTTCATTATGCAAATAATTTTCTGGGAACTCTTACAGGGGAAACAGGAAACTGTTTATTACAAGGATTCCTTTCAGTTTTCAACTAACTAGACTACCTTTTTTATTTTTAAATAAATCATTGCTTTCTAATTTTTATAAAATTTAACGAATGTTTGAACAAAAAGATGATGTCTCCTCCCTCCATGGTTCATTTTATCTATCTTTGCCAAACCTTATTTTAAAAAATAGAAATATTTGTAAATATATTTTCCAAACCTTATTTTGTAACTATAGAAAAAAGTATACCTTATAATGGAATCTTAATCCCCTGATGGCAAAGTGGGAAAAAAAATAAAAGAGAGAGATGTACTTCGTAGGCAGATTGACTTACATCCAAACACTGATTTTGCTATAATTAATTGTATGATTTTTGTCAAATTTCCTTTTTTTCAAGTAAACCTTAATTTATTTGTGTATTAGAGAATAAAACTACCCACTTTGCCATATGTAAAGAATAAAGCAAAGTGCCTACAGATTTTTTGTTTGTTCCTAATTGTATGATTAAAATAGTACTTGTGTTGCAGCATGGTTATCTCTAGGATAACTGAAAAAAATGGAATGAAAAATTTTCCAAGAAGTGAGGCCATTTGAAAAATAGGGAAGACAATGCAGGCACTGAAAGGATTATCTGGACACTCAACTGGACAGTAGGGCCATATGTGACATATGAAGGAGAAAACTAGAATGGGTGTCAAAGTACTAAAGACAAGAAATAAAGAAACTTGGACTAACAAAGTCTTCCTCACTAACCCTTTCCGAACCTCTACTCTGAAATTAAAACATAAAGTAGATTAACTAATGTAGGAGAAACAAGTCTACAATGACTTGATCTAGTCACAAAATAAGTTGTCCATATCCTCACTGTTTCCATTATCTATACAATTCCTCAGCATGATGAAAAATCCTACCAGCAACAAATTGTACAAAAATACACACAAGAAATGACAGCTTACTAAATCTTCTAGACTGGAAAGTTGTTCAAATCCCTCTGGTATGACAGCTAGTTCATTATGCTGAAGATACAAACTCTTCAGATTTCTTAGATTTGTAATTTCTTCAGGAAGTATTTTCAGTTTGTTATGGCTATTGATTGAAAAAATAAATTTTGAATAAGTTGGTGACAACATAAATATTCCTCAAAGACTTTTTTGATAACCAAATACATAGAATCACTACAAAATGAAATATGGTTACTAATTTTAAGTATATTTCAAAATTAAAATCCCAAAATATACTTTCATTAAAATAACAGTAATCTAAAGTAAGCAAATTGAAGTTCCAAAGCAAAACAACAATGAAACAACTAAATTTAAGTAATTTGTGAGTTTTTGATTGCGTGTTGATAATCAATTCTTGATTTTACTTTGTAATGTAAAAAAGGACTTAACAGACCCTCATTTTTTTTTATACTACATCTGGGTTTTAGAATTTTCAGAAATATGTGTAGAAGAAGCTCCAATGTGGTCCTAAACAATTAGCATTTCTTTTTGTGCTATTATTTTTGCTGATTCACTAAATGAGGACTGCTATTTTTAAGGACTGTATTCCCTACAACCAACTAACTTTCCTCCAGAAAACAAACAAATATATTACGTTAGAGAGATTTTTATAACTACATCTATTTTATAAAATAGTTTTTCGAGCTATGTTTTAAGTATCTTTTATTTCTTCTTCTCAATGAAACCTTCTCTAATCTCCTTTCTTCTAATCAGCGTCTACATAACACAAACAAGACAAAGTTATTCTAGCTCAAAAGTCTGGGCGTGTACTAGGGGGCAAAAGGTGTTGCCTTAGCCACCTAGCCTCACAGATACCTATCCATAGTAATGCCAAAAACACACCTATGGAACTCCAGGAGTCTTTAAAACTTTAAAAATTACTAATATTAAAATTTATGAAATATTTCATCAATAGTCAAAGAATTATTTTCCATTTCTTCTTTACTGTTCAAAATCTAGGTACTTTTTAGATTATCTGGGTAACATAAAAGGTGGTATTTTCTAAATTTAGGACCATTAAAAATTATTTCACACAACAGAAAGCATTTTTAAAAAATCAACTGGCATTAAATTCATAAAACCAGAAAAACATAATTTAATTTTTATTTTCCTATTATTTTTAAAGCAGACAGAGAGATGCTTCAACTGCTAGTTCATTCTTTTTTTTTTTTTTTTTTTTTTTGACAGGCAGAGTGGATAGTGAGAGAGAGAGACAGAGAGAAAGGTCTTCCTTTGCCGTTGGTTCACCCTCCAATGGCCGCCGCGGCCGGCGCGCTGCAGCCGGCGCACCGCGCTGATCCGATGGCAGGAGCCAGGAGCCAGGTGCTTTTCCTGGTCTCCCATGGGGTGCAGGGCCCAAGCACCTGGGCCATCCTCCACTGCATTCCCTGGCCACAGCAGAGGGCTGGCCTGGAAGAGGGGCAACCGGGACAGAATCCGGTGCCCCGACCGGGACTAGAACCCGGTGTGCCGGCGCCGCAAGGCGGAGGATTAGCCTAGTGAGCCGCGGCGCCGGCTGGTAGTTCATTCTTCAAATGCCAATAACAACCAGAGCTGAACCAAGCCAGAGCCAAGAGTCTATAATTCAATTCAGGTCTCCCATGTGGGGGACAGGGACACAAGTACTGAACTATCTAGCACTGCTTCCCAAGGCGCACATTAACAGGAAGCTGGATTGGAAACAAAGAAGCCAAGATTTGAAGCAGGAACTCCAATATGGGCTGCAGGTAATCCAAGTGGCATCTTACCTGCTGAAAGAAACACTAGTCCCCATATAGCCAATTGTAAAATAAAAAATAAGGAAAGGCATTTGGTGTAACCGTTAAGATGTCCTTGGGAAGTCTACATTCCCTACTAGAATGTCTGGGTTCAAGTCCCAACTCAGTGTCCAATCTAGCTTCCTGTTAATGCAGAAACTGGGAGGTAGTAGTGGTAATGAGTCACTGCAACTCTCATGAGAGACAGCATTGAGTTCTGAGCTATTGGCTTCCACCCAGCCTAGCCCTGGCTATTGCATAGATGAATCAGCAGTCTCTCTCTTTCTTAGTCTCTCTGCCTTTCAAATAAAATAAAATGTAATAAAATAACACAAACAATCTTTTGCTATAACTATGTTTTGAGAAAACATAATTTCTTATGTTTTGGAAAAAAATTTAATATTAGATGTATATCATAATAACATTAAAAATAAAAGTTTACATCTTACCTGACATTAAGTTTCTGAAGGTTTTCTAACTCTCTTATAGCAGAAGGAAGAGTTGTCAGCTGATTATCATGTATCTAAAATTATTTAAAAAATGAAGTCAATATTCTTAGGCTTATAATTAACAATATATTTGTTTTGCCATTATACAAAAATATTCACCAGTAATCTCTATTCTTCTAACTCAATAGCAATGATTTAGGCTGTTAGTAATTTGCTCAATGTTTAAAAGAAGAAAGGGTGGGGGCAGGCATTTGGTGTAGTAGTTAAAATACTGCTTGAGATGCTTACATGTAACATTGGGGCATCTATTCTGAGTCCTACCTCTGCTTCTGATCCAGCTTCCTGATAATGCACATCCTGGGAAGTGGTGAATGTTGGTTCAAGTACTTGGGTCCCTGCCACCCATGTGGGAGACTGGCTCTGGCCTGGCTCAGCCCTGCGTGTTGCAGGTATTTGGGGAGTGAACCAGTAAATGAACTTTCTCTGTGTGTGTGTCTTTCAAATAAAATGAAAATAGATTTTTAAAGAAAATTTTAAAAAGAAACATGGTTTGAAATCAACCAAATTGCTCTTCAGAAATTATAAAATGATAGAACATACATTTTAAAGATTACAAAAAAAGAAAAAGAAATGTTATCTCAATGAGTAGAGTTTGAATTTAAATGAGACATGGAGTCTGGAACTAACAGCCCTCTGATGATATGATGTATGTCAACATATGAAAAAATGACACAAGAAGGGAAAGGGGGACTTTTTGCATGTGCTTACAGAATCTTCCTGTTCTTTAAGGTAAAAAAAAAAAACCTCTGAGAAAACCAATCTATTCATTTTATAAATAAAGAAAAGAAAAACTTCTCCAGAAATGCAACTATTTAGAACTAACCTTTCATACATGAGTTGAAGGGTTTTTGATATTATTTTTTAAAGTCTGCAAATCCTGAAATGAACTACTACTCATTCACTTCACCACAACACACAGTAACCAGACATTAAAAACACAGTCCCTCAGGACTGGACTGTGGCATAATGGGTAAGACTGCCACCTGCAGTGCCGGCATTCACAGGGGCAATGGTTTGAGTCCTGGCTGCTCCACTTCTGATCCAGCTCTCTGCTGTGGCCTGGGAAAGCAGTAGAAGAAGGCCCAAGTCCTTGGACCCCTGCACCCATGTGGGAGGCCCGGAGGAAGCTCCTGGCTCCTGGCTTCAGATCAGTGCAGCCCCAGCCGATGCGGCCATCTCAGGAGTGACCCAGCAGATGGAAGACCTCTCAAACAAATACATAAATCTTAAAAAAAAATCCCTCAATAAAAACACTGAAATTTAAGTTTATTTGAAAGTCAAAAGAGTTACACAGAGAGAGGAGAGGCAGAGAGAGAGAGAGGTCTTTGAGAGAGAGGTCTTCCATCTGATGGTTCACTCCCCAATTGGCCATGCAGATGCAAAGCCAGGAGCCAGGAGCCAAGAGCTTCTTCCAGGTCTCCCACGCAGGTGCAGGGGCCCAAGGACTTGGGCCATTTTCTACTGCTTTCCCAGGCCACAGCAGAGAGCTGGATCAGAAGTGGAGCAGCCAGGTCTCGAACCGGCACCCATAAAGGATGCCAGCGCTTCAGGCCAGGGCGTTAATCTGCTGTGCTACAGCGCTGGCCCCTAAATTCAATAATTTAAGCTAATGACATTGCAGGCAAGTTATAAAAATAAAAAAAAAACTGTCCTAAATATTGTATGTGCTTTACTATCCATAATAATAATGATGTTTGCAAAAAAGTAAATAAAGATGAGCAAAAGCAACCACTTGTTAAATAGTAATTCTGCTTGTATGCATTAGTTCATTTAATTCTAGTAATAATTTTTAAAAATAGGTAGAATTAATCCTTGTTTATAAATGTGGAAGTAAGGCATAGAGATGTAACATTCCCGGAGACACACAGATAATAATTGGCAGCCAGAATTAGAATCCAGTGATCTAATGCTGTGCTCTTAACTATTATGCTGTGTCTAACATAATAATTTGTTATTTATAACTGTATTCTATCAACTCAACTTGAAAGGTTTGCTGCTTCTCAAAGCTTGAATATCTCTTCAACTAATAACCCATATTTATAGTCTGTCAACTTACATCAAGAACAGTCAATGCAGGTAGAAGTCGGAGGTCATCCGCAAGTGACTGAAGCTTGTTGTTCGATATAATTAATTTGGTCAAATCTGTCTGCTCCCACCATCGTTCAGAAGTGCTGAATGAGAGATTCTGATTAGCTTCCTCGGGGACATCCACATTTATTCTCCAGACACATTGAGGCACTATTTCCACCACCACCACACCAAAAAAAAAAAAAAAAAAAAAGGTAAGTGACTTATAATACCTAGTTAGCTCAATTACTGAAAATGATTTCTAGAACAATAAATCACCAGAATGAAAGATGATTTTATTCAAAAATTGACTATGTAATATACATTTTACATATTAGATCTCCCTTTAATGTCATTCACTATATTTACTAGTCATTGTATATGACTGCCATATTTTGGCAGATATCTAAGACAAAGAATGGACTCTACCATTATCCCAACAGAGTAACAGTGAAGGCACAGAAATCAACATTTATATGGACTATTGTAAGTTTTATAACAAAGGTATACACCACAGCTCTGAAAAGGCTGGTAAGAATAATAGCTAACACTTACAGCTATTAGGCAATCTCTTTACATATAAACTCATTTAAACTTCATAGTTCTATGACATAGGAGCTATTCTATTCCCGTTTTATACATGAGAGAAATGGGGCACAAAGAGAATATAAAATTTACCATGGATTCCACAGTTAATAAGTACCACAGATGTGATTCAAACCCCTGTAGAGTTATGTTGTCTTGAATTCCATTAATATCTCAGAGGAATATCTAGCTCTGGTAGCTACTCCCTATTTTACCTAACATATTATTTTATTTCTTACTCTGCCACACAAAATTGTGTTATTCTATTAAAGCAGATAACAAGACTGTCCATTTTTTCATTACAAAGCTCCAGAAGGTAGATCACATTAGTGTCATAGGCAAACTATTTTAAGTACAGACTTTCAATTCTTGAAAAAAGTAAGACTATATATAGAGACCTGATATTGATTAAAGCAAATACTGTTTATGCCCTGCTGTCACTATCATTTTAAAATCACAGAATTAAATGGAAAGGCATAGTCAAAGGTTTACATTAAGGACATTGAAACACAATTCAGGATGATTAATGGGATACAATGGTATCATAGAAGCAAGCAAAGCCTCAGAAATCCAGACTTGTACTCATTCCAAACAAACAAAATAATGATTTAATATTAAAATAAATTATCAAATTCCCTCTTTCCCTTTTTTCTAATTGATACTCTGCTTCTCTGGTCTTCTCCAGCAAAGGTGAATAACATATATGTTTCTGTTTGTGGCTGGACATTTCTTTTTAAAACATAGTACAAGGGGCCAGTGCTGTGGTATAGTAGGTTAAGCCTCCACCTGCAGCGCTGGCATACCTGTGGGCACCGGTTTGAGACCTGGCTGCTCCACTTTCGATCCAGCTTCCAGCTATTGGCCTGGGAAAGCAGTGCAAGATGGCTCAAGTGCTTGCGCCCCTGCACCCATGTGGGAGACCCAGAAGAAGCTCCTGGCTCCTGGCTTCAAATCAGGCCAGCCTTGACCATTGCAGCCATTTGGGGAGTGAACCAGCAGATGGAAGACCTCTCTGTCTCTCCCTTTCTTTCTAACTCTGCCTCTTAAATAAATAAATTGTTTAAAAAAAGTAAAAAACAAATCACTTTTCCCAATTGAGAGTAAAATCACTGTAAATTTTATCCTTATTACTTTTATTATTATTTTGATATGTTGGTATAGGTGTTCAAATAGGAACAAGAACCACACATCAGCCAGCAACTAGAATGATAATTGATCTATTCCAAGGAGCCAAATGAAATAGGAACACAAATATTAGATTAAAAATAAATAAATATTACTTATTAAAAAAAAGCTACATTGAGCCGGCGCCGTGGCTCAATAGGCTAATCCTCCGCCTTGCGGCGCCGGCACACCGGGTTCTAGTCCCGGTTGGGGCGCCGGATTCTGTCCCGGTTGCCCCTCTTCCAGGCCAGCTCTCTGCTATGGCCAGGGAGTGCAGTGGAGGATGGCCCAAGTGCTTGGGCCCTGCACCCCATGGGAGACCAGGAAAAGCACCTGGCTCCTGGCTCCTGCCAGGATCAGCGCGGTGCGCCGGCTGCAGCGGCGGCCATTGGAGGGTGAACCAACGGCAAAGGAAGACCTTTCTCTCTCTGTCTCTCTCTCACTGTCCACTCTGCCTGTCAAAAAAAAAAATAAATAAATAAATAAAAAAAATAAAAAAAATAAAAAAAAAAAGCTACATTATTCTATTTTGGGTTGGTCACCAACGAAAAGCTCCAGAATAAAATGAAAACATAAAAAAAGCAAGATAAAATAATACAAAACATTAAAAAAGAAGATAGATTTTAGAAGCTATATGATTTGCATGATATGCACAATTCTATTCCTAATACCTATACATAAGTATATTAAAACAATTATACATAAAGATCAGTGTAATAACAAGCTGATATTTTGGGATGGAGGCATGTGGAAAGCACAAGAAATTTGTATACAATAAAGGTACCTGTTACACTAAATGAGAACCCACATTTTATCATGTCTATTTCAGACATCTTTACTAACAAAACTTGTCTCACAGGAATTATGAAAGAAAATATAATTATTAATATCATATTGTTACTGAACATGTATCAATTATTGTTAATTCTTTTCCCCATTAATTATTTATGACATATTCCAATTTCTTCCAGGGCTTATAGCATCAAAAACTCATGTCACTATTGCTCCCTGACCAAATGTGAACTACCACTAAAAGGTATATATAAATAATACTTATTATTGAGGAATTCTGTAGAGCTATGCTAAAAGTAGTTTACCGGCCGGCGCAGTGGGTCACTAGGCTAATACTCCACCTGCGGCGCCAGCACTCCAGGTTCTAGTCCCGGTTGGGGCACCGGATTCTGTCCTGGTTGCTCTTCTTCCAGTCAAGCTCTCTGCTGTAGCCTGGGAAGGCAGTGGAGGATGGCCCAAGTGCTTGGGCCCTGCACCCGTATGGGAGACCAGGAGAAAGCACCTGGCTCCTGGCTTTGGATCGGCAGCGCGCCGGCCGTAGTGGCGCGGGAGTGAACCAAAGAAAGGAAGACCTTTCTCTCTGTCTCTCTCATTGTCTAACTCTGCCTGTCAAAAAAAAAAAAAAAAAAAAAGTAGTTTACCAACGTATAAAATAGAAATTATCAGGGTTAAAAACACAGATGTAGGAGCCAGCACTGTGACACAGAAGGTTAAGCCTCTGCCTGCAGCGTAAGCATCCCATATGGGTGTCAGTTCAAGTCTCAGTTGTTCCACTTCCAATTCATCTCCCTGATAATGCACCTGGAAAAGCAGAGGAAGATGGCTCAAATGCTTGAGCCCCTGCACCCACATGAGCAATCTGGAAGAAGCTCCTGTTCCTGGTCTTTGTCTGGCCCAGGCCCAGGCCTTGCGGCCATCTGAGGAGTGAACCAGCGATATAAGATCCTGATTTCTCTCAATCTCTCTCTCTCTCTCTCTCTCTCTGTCTCTCTCCCTCTCTCCTTCTCTCTGTACCTCTGCCTTATTAACAAAACACAAAACACAGATGTAAAAAAAAAATTACTATGGAATTGGGTTGTGTAAAAGTGTATGTTGTTCAGAGGCTCTCTGTGAGACCTCAGAGGAAAGAAAGGGTCATCAAAGAAGGAGACACTCATCTCTGAAGAGAGAAGAGAACATCCACTTTGCTTATGGCCATGTTCAAATACTGACGGAGTCCAAGGTCACAAAAGGCTTCCACAGCCTTGGCAGCCCATGGCAAGAGACTCGGATGATCACTGACGTCATAAAACAAGTGTTAATTGTTAAAGGAACAACAGTAGTCACTGTTCACTTGCTCCCCAGGTAGGACCTCTGTCCCTATTGAATTGTAATATAAGAATTGACTGCAAATTCTCTTCCTAAACTGTACTCTACATGTTATGTGTGGGTGTGGGTGTAAATTGTTGACATCTATGATTAGCATAGAGTTGGTCCTCTGTATATAAAGTCATACTAAAAATGAATCATAAAGAACAAGGAGATGAGAGAGAGGGAGATGGGATGGGAGCTGGGGGGAGGGGTAATGGGGAAAAGAACCACTATATTCCTAAAGTTGTATCTATGTAAAAATGCATTCATTAAATAAAAATTATTTAAAAAGTGTGTTATTTTATATGACTAACTACTGTGTAAATTTCAAACACACAAAATTTTTTAAAAGATTATTTTTATTTATTTGAAAGGTAGAGTTAGTCAGACAGAGGGATAGACAGAAAGAAAGGTCTTCCATCCGCTGGTTCGCTCCCAAAATGGCCAAAATGGCCAGAACTGGGTCATTCCGAAACCAGAAGCCAGGAGCTTCTTCTGGGTCCCTGACAAAGGTGCGAGGGCCCAAGCACTTGGGCCATCTTCCACTGCTTTCCAATGCCATTAACAGAGAGCTGGATTGAAGAAGGACAACCAGAACATGAACCAGTGCCCAAATGGGATGCAGGTACCACAAGTGGAGGTTCAGCCTACTATGTAACAGCGCTGGCCCCTCACCATCAAATACACAAATTTTAAAAACAGTATAATGAATAAAACTTGATGTACCCACCACCTAGAAAATTATGCAACTGATAAAGGATTAATATCCAGAATCTATGAAGAGCTCAAGAAACTTAACAACAACAAACAATCCAGATAAGAAATGAGCAGTTAATAAATGCTGGCAGGAAGGTGGGGAAATGTTGGTGGAATGTAAATTGGTGCAGCCACTGTGGAAGACAGTATGGAGATACTTCAGAAATACAGACCAGGGCCAGCACTGTGGAACAGTGGGTAAGGCCGCAGCCTGCAGTGCTGCATCCCATATGGGCACCAGTTCGAGACCCGGCTGCTCCACTTCTGATCCAGCTCTCCGCTTGTGGCCTGGGAAAGCAGTAGAAGACAGCCCAAGTCCTTGGGCCCCTACACCCACGTGGGAGACCTGGAAGAAGCTCCTGGCTCCTGGCTTCAGATTGGTGCACCTCCAGCCATTGTGGCCAACTGGGGAGTGAACCAGTGGATGGAAGACCTCGCTCTCTTCCTCTCCTTCGCTCTCTGTGTAACTCTGACTTTCAAATAAATAAATAAATCTTAAAAAAAAAAAAAAAAAGGACCATATG